TTTAGGGCGATTACCCTTCGCGTAAGTAATTGAAAATGTCTGCATGCTATTTAAAAACACTTAAGCAGTGCCCATTTTGGCGCTGGTCAATTGCCTGCACAAACAAACGCTCGTTTATGTAAATGGCTCATCGTTATTATCCGTCATTACCTAACATTAGGATTGTATCATTGTCAATGATTAACGGCGACTACCAGCGCCATTAATACTTAACTGCTGTAATAAATAATAATCGGTCAATCATTGTAGATATTAAACAATTACACTAAAACTTATTATTTTCTACCCTTGTGTGTGATTGTAAAACACAACTTTTTTTCTTTTATAAACAAAATTCATGAGAAGAATGATTTTTTGTTGTATTTTGTATACAGCATGCAGCATGCGGCTGCCAGGCTAACATTTTGATGACGAATCAGGAAGTGGATTTTATTACACAACCCGAGCGAACAGAATAAGCATTCTGTTCATTTATTCACCAGTGCACGGTGCAATGCAAAACTGCCGAGTCAAAAGCGAACAGATTTCGCATCATAATGACGCTAAAAATATCAATATCAACGTTGAACGCTTTGGAGGTTATGTTACTTTTTGAGGTTAGAATGCTGCACGAGGTAATCCATCACATTCACATAGAAATGCATTCGTGCGTGCCCTTCACAATCAAGGCATTTGATGTTCCTGCAATGCACGCGGATTAAATAGACACAGAAATCAGTAAAGTCATAAAGTAGAGGTTAACTGTACTTAAGTAACCTAAAAATATTGAAAATATGTGTTTTTCTATGCAATTGTAGTGTTTAAACATGTTTACTTAGTAAAAAAATCAAAAATAGGACAAAATATAGTTAATTAAAGAAATCGAACCTCAAAATGTTTAAAATATGTATTTTTCTATTCACTTGCATTGTTTAACTTGGGAAACTACCAAAAATAGAAGGAAACATAGGTTAACTCCTCTAAACTAACCTCAAAATATCAAAAATATGTATTTTTCTATGCAATTTCAGTATTTAAGCATGTTTACTTAGTAAAAAATCAAAAAGCTGGATAAAATATAAGTTAACTACACTAAACTAACCTCAAAACATTAAAAACATGTGTTTTTCTATTCACTTTCCATATTTAAGTACATTTACTTGGTAAAAATACAAAAAAACAAAATTGAGGTTAAGTGCAATAAACCCAAAATATAAGAAATATTATTTTTTCTATTAATTTGCAATATTTAAACACATTTTGTGGATAAAAAGTAAAAAAATGGAAGAAATCACAGATTACCTGCACTAAATTAACCTAAAAAATAAACTTTTGAGGTTAGAATACACCATGTAAGCCATCACATTCATATAGAAATTCATTCGTGCGTGTCCTTCACAATCAAGACATTTGATGTTCCTGCACTGTACGCGAATCAAACGGACAGAAAACTTCACAAAACTCATAAACGTGCATCACAAATTGTACGCTGTTATTATTTATTGTTAAATTCAGCGTATAACGGTTTAACAACACTAGTGTGCACCTACAGAAGATTTCGTGGCTAAATATAAATCTTGACTCAAGTGCGAAATTAAATTCGCCCATTTTGATAAGCGGCTTATTTTGTAAATAACACTCACCGAACGCTTTGTTGTTTTAATACCAAAGTCAAGCGTAATTCATACCCTTGCTTTGACTGCTCAGCGAGTTTATGAGCAGCGTATTGTTTTCCACCGCCTTTGTTTCAAGCTTTTTATGTGCGCGCCTTTGTTTTGCTTATTCGATTACACCCTCGCCGGGCCTGAAATTCTATTCCCCGAAGGCGCGCCACGTCATGCGCAACAGTCTCAGCCGTATGTATTCTCAACAGTCTTTGTTCGCCTGCGAAGCAAGGGGTGTTTTTGTTACCATGGTAACACAACCCAGTCTCGCTCGGTTGCCGACGCGCGGAGGAAAAACAAAAGCAATCAACGCATGCGTACAAGTCACGCACGTTGCACCAAAGTCAAAACAAGTCCTTTATACAGGGTATTACAGGACGTTTAAAATCATTAAAAATCAAAAATAATAAAAAAATTGAAGGCCGAAGACAAAAGGGGTTCGTGTGGTATTTCAACTTGCATTCTCCCCTCGTGACTCCTTCGTGACTTGCGTTTTTTCCTTTTATTTTTCAACGTCGCGTCGCGTCGTAAAAGAACAAGAGGAAGACGCGCGCCTAGCAACAACCCGCACGACCCCAGTGCGCGCACGCTTGCGTCGTCGTAATGGCCGAGTGGCGAGGGCAACAGGTTCCGCCCGTCTGAACCGGGGGGCGAGTGATGCGCCGAAGGTGAACGCCAGCAGGAAAGCCAAGGTGCATGCGCACACACTCACACACGAGAGTGTAACCCACACGCGACGTTCCACAAGAGGGTACGAGTACTTGCAACAGGTGAATCTTTTTCAACCGCTGCGCACAGGTTACAAAGAGGGTTTGTATACAGTGCACATGCACGCTTGCAGGATGGACATTTTTATAAAATTGATTCAACCTTGAATACAACATTTTTATATTCAAGGGGATTGGAAATTATTTTTAGATTAATTTTATTATTCATCTCACCCCTCGAATGTTGAACTTTGGACTTAATTTATATTGATGACTCATTGTCCCGATAATGACTACCCTTATTGCTCTGCTTGAAGTTATTGAGAGATTTATTTATAAGGGTACGCGATTTGAGTTTTATTTCTCCGCCGTGCGGGCGGATATATTGCTTTTTTGCGTTTGTGTAAAAAGCGCTTTCTTTCGTGTATTAATTCGTGCGCGATGCGTATACTGCACGCCTGGTACGCGCGATGTGCGTGGAGAGAAATCAAAAAGTCGTCCTCTTTTTCAAAGGGGGTCAACCACCCCACGGACCGCCCGAGCGCGGCGCACACGTGTATCCCCTTGGCGATGGGAGTGCGACGAGGAGCGCGCGTGGGCTGCGCGCGGGGCCGTTCCAACCCGCGCAGCACGGACTTATCGCGTAAGCGCGGCGCGCCGACGTGAGGATGTGTGCCGTTCCTCTTTTAACGCACCAATACCACCACGCCGCCGGGCAGTCGCTCAGCGTGATGTACGCTGGGCGTGTTGCGAGTGGTAGACTGAACACCGCGCTGGCCGACTGCACGAGCCCTCGATGCGAGAAAAGCGAACGCAGTCGGCCAGCGCGAAGACTGCGCACGCCGATAAAAGTATACGGCGAGTGGCGCGGTGTGATGATGTTGACTATTCGACGGGTGCGCCTGTGCTACATCCACAAGCGCTCAAGGTCTCTTCGCGATGCGGGCCGCGCGCGTGTGCGTGCGCGTACGTGAACGGGTTGTGCGCCGCGCGGCGCGCGAGCCGATTCCGTGGTGGTGGTGGCAAAACGATCCGCTCGCGCTGAGCAATAGCTGCGCGGTGCCGGGGTCGCGATCGTCCGCGCGACGACGAGGAGAGGCGCGACCGGGGTCGACGAGTCGAATTTAGTTACTCGAAGGGTGCGCACCACTAAAGTCACTCTCCGCGTGTGCCGCTCTCCAATATCCAGAGTGTGTGTGTGTTAACTGCGCGCGCGCGCGTGTGACTTTGTCCTGTGCCCAGGACCAACTTGATTTTTTCACCACCCTCGCGTATATTTATATCACACACACACATTGTTGGATTGTTTCAAAGTGCAACTGCTTTTTTCTACAATCGCGTGGATTTATTTATTTTTTTTGATTCGTTGAATTGTCGCGAGTGCGCTCGCCAGACCGAAAATGTCAAGTGGATTCTAATAACTAACAAGTTGGTGGCATTTCGCACGAATTTTATTTCGACTCTCGCGCGCGCACACGACGCGCAAAAGGAGGTGCGTGGTTTAATAATAAATGTGCGCGAGCAGCGAGCGAACGAGCGAGCACAGGAAACTTATGAATTTCACAAGGACGAACTATTGCGTAAGTGTTTTGGATTTTATTCTAGATGTGCGCGAGCGTGTGCAATCGGCTGCAATCGGCGCGCAGTTTGTGCTCAACTCTACTACAACACATAGAATTCGCGCGGTGGGATTCGTGGTCGGCGGGCGCCGATTGCGATTAGCGCGTTGGCGTACATCGGAACACGAGTCGCATCATATTTTTTGCACGGCGCAGATTACACGCACCGCACCCTCTTTCGTTGCGATTGCGAAACCTCATCTCGCGCTTCTATTTATAATCCATTCGGGTGAATAGCGCATGCGCAAGTCGATTTCAACTTACTTCTAGTACTTCCTGCTTGCGAATATTTTACAAACAAATTTTGCATGTTTACACACAAAGTAATATGGAATTACAATCATTTGTATTCATTATGTATTCATTAGTAAATGTCTAGTTATGCGTTTATGCGAACGAACGTGGTTAGCATTCGACATTCATTCATTACAGAGTCATAGCCAACTCGTGTGTTGCACATTGTTGCATTGTGGTGGTTGGTGACGCCGTTCCGCGATAATTTGCGTGTAATGATGCATCGCCATATTTGCACATGCGCATTTTTAATAAGATGGCTGCGAGAAAGAAAGAACTGTCAATAATGTGTCATAGATTTTGACATTTTAAAAATCAAAGTTGGCCGTTGCGCTGGAAATGAGGATAATCGTATAATAATAAGAAATCAAGTAACGGAACACATCCGTGCAATATCCGGGGGAAGCGTGCGCGCCGAGAGTCGCGTTCTCTCGTGTGTCCCACTACTTTCTTGACTTGTTGCGCGCACGGCCAAAATTTCCACTTTGCATAACGTAGCGTTATCGCCCCTCGACGGGGACCAGTAGGAGTCTCAATCACAGCGGAGGTATGCTATGATGCAACAATGCGGCATAATTTAGAATCCATTAATTATGCATTAACATATGCACCTATTACGTATGCTAATATGTTGTTTATAGGAAATCGTGTTTGTGTCATTCGAGCGGTGGTTGTTGCAGTTGAAATATTAGAAACTAGATTTTTGACGGTCGTGCGCGCTTTGCTGCTGCTGCTATAATGTCAGCGTTAGCAGGAACGCGATGGTGCGAGTCATGGTTACGCCTATGAAGGACGAGGGGGAAAACGCACTAGGTTCTCTCTAGTAGTAATGGCAGCGAATGCGGTTGCGGCGTGAACACTGCCGAAGCCGGTCCTGTTGAATGCCGCGCCGGTCACCCCGATCAACCCCGAACTGTGCCGAGGCGCAGCGCGCTCATCGCGCGCACACACCGCTCCACTGCGCTAGGCGGCCTCCCCGCGCCAGACTGCTGACATGGCGTCTTGAACGTGCACCGACTCTCGCGATCCTCCGACGAGCAGCCCGCGTGCCGGTGAGAAGTGTGTGTGTGTATGGTTTTTGTTGTGCCGCAGTGCGAGAAACGCGCGCGGCGTCCGTCCGCATCCCGCGACCTCCTGACATTTCCGGACAGGGCCAAATGTCGCCGTGTCGATGCGTCAAACAGGTAAATATGTGTTGCGTGCACGAAATAAGAGCGCGCGACGCGCAAAGAGATATTGCGGCGGCGTGTGTTTTTCTAGCCTGGTCGGTCGCTGGTGCGCTGCGCTAGATTGAGAGACGCGGACTGCGATCGCAGCGGAAAAATAGAACGCCGCCAGCAGCAGCAGCAGCAGTACACACGGTTGGTTAGAAAACGGCGAAGCGTAGACGAACGAGCGAAACGTCGGCGTCGGGGACGTGAACGAACGTCTGACATGCCTTTGAGAATATATCGTAGATTGTAAAATGTAAATATCACCGACTGGCGCGCGCTGTGCTGCTGCGTTCGTCTCCTTGTCGCACTCGGCGCGCCGCAGATGCGGCTACCCCGCGTTTTCTAATCAATATATTTCTCTATTTCGATAAATCAATATTTACACCGTGCAAGCCCGCGCACACGGGTTGCCTACACGCGTGTGTGTATGTGTGTGTTGGTGCCCCTATATACGCGAAATATTTTCAACGCGACACACGCATCGCATGCCAATTACGCACTTGTTTGTAAATATCTATTAGCACGGAGGGTTTTTCCATGCGCACACACAATCCAAACGCGGAAACTTGTGTGTTGGGTCGCAATGCGAACCAGTCCAACCCAACCAGGCGAGGCAGGAATGTTAATAATCCGCATCCTTCCTAGAAGCGAATTTGCGACGACAGTGCACGAGCGCCCGACCCAACCACCATGCCGTCGTGCGCTGTGTGGCGAGAACTTCTCTCTATTCTCAACAATCATAACGGTACACTCACAGTTTATTGCTATTCAGCCTAGCGAAATCCACGTCGTCGTCGAGAGAGGAAAGTCGAAGCAACCTCGAAACAAAGCTAAAACGATGCAATATGGAGGTTGTGTGTGCTGTTTGGGTTGCGGTGGGGGATGCTTAATCTCCACATGTGCCACTTTTCAGCCGCCGTGCGCGCTCGCGTTCGCCAGGCGGGCAGGCAGCAGACGAGAGGCACGAAAATAAAGACGCGCGCGGCTAGCGGGCAAAAGGATACGCAAACAAGTTGAGAAATGTTTGCGCGCGCCCGAGGAGCGAACGGAAACGTGACGTCATAGGGATGTTTGTGCCAAATAAAGGCAAGAAAATATCTGCAGCATTTTTTTAACACACGCGGCGCGCGCTTTGTTTGCATTAGCATTATGGTTTTTTTTTGTCGGGAGAAACAAATGATGAGATGCGAACACATGCGCTTCTAATTATCTTGACTCATGAACCAAATAAGACTCGTTTTATTAGGGGGCAGAGCGTGCGCCGGCTGTGACGTAATGAATCTGTGGCTGAGAGGTTGCTTTTCTAGCGTGACCAGTGGGCTCGTATTGCGTATACCTATTTCATGTTTGCAATCGGCAATTGTTTATGCGAAAGCGAAGGTTTAGACTTGTTTCACAGCGTGTGCAACAAATCGCCAGCGCGCTGGCCGTCCCCTCTGATGGAATGAGCACGCCGGTGACGGACACCTGTATGAATGAGACCTTGAAATTTCCACTCCCGTGACTAACTTTTTTTTTTCGTGTGTGTATCTATTAAATACGCATTAAATTTGTTTGGTGAATGATTTTGAGGGGTGGAAGTTAATTTGGTTGCGCTTTCTTGTTGCAGTAAAACGTCATTAGTGCCCGAATATCACACATGATCAGCCTACCGACTATATCGAAGCCCCCGACAACTCCAAACGCAAACATGTCATACCAAAGGTTCTGTTTACGATGGAACAATCATCAATCAAATTTGCTCTCAGTATTCGATCAGCTGCTGCACGACGAGTCGTTTGTGGATGTCACGCTGGCGGTGGAAGGGCAGCTGCTGAAGGCGCACAAGATGGTGCTCTCGGCGTGCAGTCCCTACTTCCAGGCGCTGTTTGTAAATCATCCCGATAAGCACCCGATTGTCATACTGAAAGACGTGCCCTATAATGACATGCGCAGTCTTTTGGACTTTATGTATCGCGGTGAGGTGTCGGTTGATCAGGACCGCCTCACGGCGTTTTTAAAAGTCGCCGAGAGTCTGCGCATCAAGGGTTTAACAGAGGTGAACGAGGAGAAGTGTGATTCGATCACATCGTCGCTGACTGCCAGCCAGAATAATCTCCGGCTGCAGCAGCAGCAGGCGCAGAATAAGCATCAACAGCAGCAGCAACAACAACAGCACCAGCTTCAGCAACAGAAACAGCAGGTGCAGCCGTTTAATGCGTTGAATATGCTTGGGAATGCATTACTGCAACCTAAAAGGAAACGTGGCAGACCTAGGAAGTTGTCGGGGAGCTCGAATGGTACACCGGGCGCTGATGATTTTGATCGCACCGACTCCCTCGTACAGGGCAGTCCGGAAATGTTGGAGGTCAAGATGGGCATGGACGGATTCACCGGCAATCACTCGGACTCCAGCAGCAAGGACAAGGAGGATGAGACGGACAGCAAAATCATGCGCACTGATAACGGCAGCGAGCCGGTCGCCGGCACCTCCAAGGGCGAGTACGACAATCTGAACATCAAGAGCGAGAACGACTTTCAAGCCTCTGGTGAGTTTGCATTTTTTTTTGTTATTCTCTAGGCGCATTTGGACTTTTTGGGTAGAATTTCTACTGTTTTTCGTTCGCTGATGCATTCCCCGAGTGTGTGGTTGATTTATGCATACACTCGGATATGCATATCTATATAAATAAAAAGGAATTGTAATTTAAAAGCGGTGAAATTAAAGCATGCAATTGATTGTTATTGTAACGTAGTGATGAATATATCGTAGTTTTGTAATTTCGCGACTCGTCGGCATTTTATGTAGCGTGAAAAGGGAAAAGCTATTGTCGAAAGTGATTTTGCAGTTGTTGGTTGTTGTTCCGCGAGCAGCGCTAAATATTCGCACACATTGTCTGTGTGTGTGTGCGCAATGTGCTTGTTTACGTTTTTATAATTTACAAGTGCGTTTCTCGCAAAGTGCATTCGATTAATGATTGTTACGATCATGAAGGTGAGTGACGTTCAATAAATTTAAAAAGAAAAACACGAATAGGGAAGAACTGTAAGGAATGAGCCATGATTATCCGAAATTTATGATTATTGAAATATTTTCATCAAGCGTTATGAAATGATGCTAGTGACAAACACCGAGCGCGGCTTATTCCCTTATAGCTTTTCCCTTTTCATAAAACATAGAAAACATTATGTAGTATTTTGATATATGCGATAATTGAGAGAGGAAGGAAATAATCTCGCTGTGTTTTAGATGTCGAACGAGGAAAACCTCCCTTTAGACCACCACCGGCACGAGCCGTGGCGCAAAAACCACCAAAGCAGGAAGTCTCGTTGATACCGCCCGCCTCAGCTACAGCCACACTCGCCGATGTGCCGAGTAATAACAATCGAAGTAAAACGTCGAATAACATCAGGTGCATCAACTTTGAATCGTCTTTCCACGAAGAGTATGGTTTACCCTATCAGGATATGTCCGTTTCGGACGTGGAGGATGGCGAAGATGCTGAGAATGACTGCGAGTATGATGATGCAAACTATGAGGCGATGGATATCAAGCTGGATCCGAAACAGTTCCTCGAAAACATCTACGATACGAGTGTGAAGCACAAAAAGCGGAAACACAGCGGCGGCGACGATTCCTACGGCTATGAGTTTGATAAGTTTGAGGAGGAGTACGAAATCATCGTCGACGATCAGAACTTTTCCTTCGGACGGATTAAGACGGAGAAGCCGCCGAAGAAGATCTGCGATCCGGATAAGTCGGCGCGCGATTTTTGCGTGCGCGAAAAGGACAATGTTTACAGATGCACGGTGTGCGACCGTGTCTACACGCACATCAGTAACTTCTGCCGGCATTACATGACCTCGCACAAAATGGACGTCAAAATGTTCTCCTGTCCCGTCTGCGGGAAGGAATTCACGCGCAAAGACAATATGTTGGCGCACCAGAAGATTATACACACGAATCGTGTGATGTTAGCCAGTCAGTCGATTGATTTAGTTTAGTTTGCGGCGGCGATTTATTGCGATGCATTGAAGTGATATAAGTACAAGTTACAACTTTGCGGAACGCTCAAAACAATAGATGGAGATAAATATTCTATTATTGCAACAAATATTGAACAAAACTTGCCAAATTTTTAAAGCGAAATGTTGGACATGTTGATTATTACTTTATCTTTTTTATATACTGATAGGGATATTTTCGAATACAAGCGCGACAATCAAATAATGAAACTTTATATACACACAAATCCAAGAAGTCTGAATACTTGTTAGTGAGTGCCTTTTATTCGTATTCTTGATACTTTTTATACTTTTATTACTCATTAGATGTACGTCAGAACCTTATTACTATAATAATCTAATCCTTACGCGAATAACAATAACTTGTTTATTATCTAGATTTAAGTATGTTCGTAATTTTTATGAGAAGCCCAAAGAGAAGTGTTGATTTTTTTACACGTAACACACGTAGCGCATTAAATTAGTTTACGTAATTGTTAACACTCAGTTGATGGAATCATTTTTCATGCAAGAAGTGTGGGTTTTTAGTTGTAAACGAGGCGTGCGGCGTGAAGAATTCGAAGTTTTGTTTTCTTTGTGGTGTCATTTATTCGATGGCACACTTTACGATAACCTAGCAAATTAATTAGTAATACCTAATTATACGAAACAAATGACTGTGAATTGTTAATATTTGATAAATTTAAGAAAACGTTTCCGATTGATACACGTGACGAAAATTTATACGATCGTTGAGAATTCAGCTTGAGCATATTTTTGGATGAATATTACATTTATACGATTTTTGATGAAGAAGTGCCTTTTGGGAAATCAAACAATAGTTGCGCCAGCTAGCGCTAATATCCACGAGACGAGTCTGAAGATGTACAATAATGACGATTGACGTTTTTTTATATACTGATACCAATGGTAATTGTAAGTTACTTTCTAATATAGTCGGCAATAAGTTTCATGTTATCATTTTTTTTATAATATTAATATCTTTGTTTTATAGTTATTAATTTCATTCGTCTCCAAACAAAATGATTGTATATATTTTACTATACAATGTTTTGCAATAATATTGGTATAAAAATTTACGTGGTTGTTTTTTTTCGTATTGATTTTGTGTGTCATTTCTCTTATCGATGAACTAAAACATGTTTGCAAGCTAACGATATTGCGTGGAAAGGAATCCAGGTAACTAATTGAAACTTGTTTACTTTTGGTTTCGTTTATTACGATTTCAATTATGTTGTTTTACTTGATTTCCGATTTATTGCGATTTTTTATTTGCTGTTTTTTCAATGGTGGATGTGCGTAGTGAGATATTAACTTGATGTTTCTGCGTTTCAGATAACAAAATCCTCACGCCGAAAGTGGAACTGACCGAAACGTTAGCGCCGCAAAAGCTGATACTGCCTAAGGTTGAACACGGCGGCGATTTGAAGTCGCACATGAACGCGTTCAATCTAAATAATAACAATAACACGCCATCGACGAGCGCGCTGGTGCCCGGCACGACGACAGCGGCGATGAGCGCGCCTTCAGGCAGACAACCGGTGAAGAGACGTGCACGCCGCAGGACGGCGTCGCAGAGCCAAGACCCGGCCGAACAGCTTACGGAGATGAGCGTACGTGGCCTCAATCTCTTTCGCTACGCGTCCATTAGTAACGGCATCTACCATTGCACGGAGTGCGCAAAGGTGGACGTGCAGAAGACGTTCAAAAACAAGTACAGCTTCCAGCGGCATGCGTTCCTCTATCACGAGGGCCAACAACGCAAGGTCTTCCCGTGTCCGGTGTGTCAGAAGGAGTTCTCGCGGCCGGACAAGATGAAGAATCATATGAAGACGGTGCATGATTGCTTCATGCCGAAGGACTGCGTCTTTCCCATGGGGTTTTTTCTCCCGCCGTCGTAAACCGGCTGCCTGCGGCGACGGATTTACGAACGACGGCGTGAAAAAAAGTCGGACCCCAACGCAGCAGAAAAATCATCCAAAACCGAACGAGAATGTTGTTAAACAGGAGGAGATCGTCGAGCCGAATGATGAAAATGTCGAAGTGGACGTGTCGAATGATGCGGATGATGCAATCACAAACGCGGAGAATGAAACGATCGAGAATGATGATAAAATCAAAAGTGTCGAAGTTGATAGCAATGAAAACAACAGCGAAGATGTTGATAACGTTAACAAGACCGTACTAATAGCTCGAACTAGCAGCAGCAATAAATATTTAACACGCAGTCAATTGCAGCAGCAGCGCAATTAAAATTAAAAAAATACCTTAGCTGTAAGCTACAACGAATTGATTTCGTTCTTGGTGCTAAAAACTAACGTTATTGTTTGAATATGAATATAGAACGCTTCGAAAGCATAAAATCAAAAGCAGATCATGCAGACGAGATGAAAAGAAACTTACATTATTAATTGTTGTACAGATCTTTATATTATTTACTAATTGTTTTTATACATATTCATATACTTTATTTAGAGATAGCATACGATTAGCACGATGCGAATATCAATTGAAATCAAATGACAATTGATTTGATTTGGAAGGAAGAGTTTTCCTTGCTATGGATGCGTTGAAATTCGAAACGCAGGTCGACGGATCGACGTTAAATCAAAATATGACTTGTTATGTAGCGATTAAGTGTATATAGATGTTAACAAGGTTCATGGACAAGCAAACAGACTAAAAAAAAGTACCCTAGGTGTTAGGACCATAAAGATATAGTACAAGTACAACTAAACATTAGGTAGGAATAGCATTTTTTCTAATTTTGAAATAGAAACACGAACGACTTTAAGTGGATGTGTGCAAATGCAGGAACAGAGAAAGAAAACAAAGTTGATTTGTGATGACATCAGTGAATTTGATTCTATAGCTGAAGATTGAAATATTTTTTTTATGTTTACGACTGCTAAGCAGTTTGCGATATCCATTAAGAGAAGGGTGGACATTTGGGTAAAGTTTTTCGAGAAGAAAAGAAGTGCAATTTTATCCAAATGACGACGTGTGTTACTATTTTGAACTTAATTGTTACTAAATGAGCGAAAAATCCCAAAATGTGGCCTATACTTTGTTTATTGTTTTTCACTTCTTGATATTTTATGATCATTTTTACTTTTTTTAAGTGTTTAAAAATTCGCGCACACAAAACATTTCTTCTGTGCATATTGTTTATAGTTTTTACGTCAAAAAAATCTTATGTTGCTTAATTGATACTACTATACATTTATTTTAAATTAATGTAAAAATGTTTGAGTTACTTATGGATTACGAAAATTTAAGTTTAGTTACTGTAGAGGAGTTGGGGTGAATGCCGACAAAACGCACAAATAATTTGATCGAATTTTGTTGTATTGTTCAATGTAATTAATTAATTATTGTAAATTACTAATTGTATTGCACGCACACGCATATGCCGTCAGTTTTTTCAGGTGTCGGGACGCGATTACAATCTATCAAATAGCGAAACACTTTTACTTCACACGTGCAATTAATAAATATTACTACTGCAACATTTTAAGTCTCTCTAGTCAACGATAGATAACATAACACGCAAATTCAGAATAATATATTACTTTAATACAATATCGAACACAGATCACACTAGAATCTTGCACAAAATGAACACCACACATTTATTATAGAGAAACTAATTTCACTTCATTAGTTGGCTAATTTTTATACGCATATATTAAAACACATTTAACGTTCGTGCACTGTTTCTTTATCTATAAGACAAACGATGAAAATCACTATGTGATATGTAATATGTTTAGTTTCGTTTTTAATTAATCATAGATCACTTATTGATTATCATAGATAAATGTTCGCTTTACTGTGTTTGTATTAAATTGATTTGTCAAGCTGGAAGTAATGGAACAAGTACGGGATAGTGAAAGTAACAAATTTTCTTGTTATTGTAAACTTAGGCGTAAAAGCGAAACAGAATCAAAGTTCTTCCACTAATTAATTGACTTACTTTAGATGGCGTGTAGGTTTTACGTTTAAAATTAAATTTATAACACCGGACGCACAGATAGGTAGCAGCGAGCAAAGAATTCAATCACCGTGGTTTTGTATTTTGTAGTAATTTGATAGCGAAACAAAGTTGTAATACTAAAGAATGGCGTTTATGCGATGACACTGCAAGTGTATATTGGTTGACATCTACGTGTAACACAAGTAGTAACTAACATAAGTGCAATTAACACATTTAGCGAGAGATGAAGAGCATTGAATATTGATTTATTATTATTGCTATTAATTTTATCCTAAGTAGACGAATAAATGTAAAGGGAGCAAAGCATTGCCTTGCTTTAAATCAAGTATGAAATAACTGAGGATTTTATATAAATGATAGAAATGCTATTATTATGTTTATATAAATATAAATATTCTATAAATATATCTAAATACACACGATTTACAGTTCACGTTTGTAACTATTTGTTTGTTTTACTGTTTTGCCATAAATTTCACTCAGGTAGAGCTTAGTTTTAGTTACAAAACATGTTTTACTCAATAATAAACCATCTTTATTGAGTTTTTGTTCATTTGTTGCAGATGGTGAAGATTATTATGAAGAAACGTGTGATACCAGTTATCCAGAATTACCAGAATCAGTCACCCTGGCGGTGATTACAACGACACCAAAATATCATCAAGAATCAGTAATAATCACACCGGAGGCAGCGCGCAATATGATTTCCTCTACTTCCAGCACTAAAGTACAAGAAGACTTGCAAGTCGAGCAACACGAAGACTACGACAAAATGGATGCCGAGGATACAACGACCGGCGTGCATTTCCTCACTGACGATGAGGCCACCGAGACGTACGAACGCAAGAAAAACGAATTATTAGAGTACATCATGCGCGATGACGGAAGTGTCGTGTGTAAACTCTGCGGGCAATTGCTGCAGAGTCGCACGCATTGGTATCGACACAAGTACAAATTCCACGTGAACAATATGGTGAATCCAGCGCCACTCTTCAAATGCAAACATTGCAATGTTTTCTTCAAGAGTCGCAAAGGATACATGGGACATATAAGCTCAAGGCACTCATCTCCACCAGCGGAGAATATTTCCCCTGTAAGGCAACCGGTGGTTATCAAGCATGAAGACTTGGATATTAGTATTAAGGAGGAAATTGTCGAAGCTACACCGGAAGTACCAAAGTTGAAAGAGAAGAAGAAGCAACCAGATGGTACAAAACCAGCGGATTGGGAGGAACAACGAGTGAAGGAAGAGCAACTGGTGGCGGCCATTATTGATAGAGTTAGAAAAGAGTGCGAGGCGCAAGGATCTGCTGTCACGAGGCGAGGATACAGTCGAAGGAGTACGGTAATGATGAACACTACGTAGATTTCCTTCCGAGAGTTTTACCAGTTACCAGTTTACATATCCTAACTCCTAATGAATTTAAAATTGACAGTTTTACGTGATATATGCTTTAGAAGGTGCCATCTTAGTATTATTTGCTCAATTGCGAAATCTTCCAAACGTTTTTGCTCAACATCACTTGATTTATTGTTGAAACACTTGCCAAAGAAACAAGGAAATGGTGTGCCAAATACGATATCAGAACGATACTTTTTAAATATGAAATTTTAACATAATTCAATCTATGATGATGACCTGTACCTTATTCCGTAGCATCACAGTAGACATGTTTAAATACAAATTCACAACGTAATCACTTCCAAAATGAAGTCTTTGATAATAATAACTAATGCATTACGAACGTTTTTAATCCACAATTCAATATGGCGGAGATTATTGTACAAATCTTGTAAAAATTCACATTGTTTTGAAGTCTTTGCGTTGTTTGATCTAGGTATAATTGTGAGTGATACTGAACCAAAAAGGACTTCAGTGCAGACGGACGATATCGAGATATTTTTATAGAGAACATGTTTTCCTCAATGTGCCAAAATCTTATATTGACTACTCAATAATAATAAAATAAAAATTTACATTTATTCGGTAGTAGACAGATAATTTTCACTGATTCAATCATGCAAGTTTAGATTTTATCGTTTATTTTTAAGAAATAATGTATGATACATGTACAAAAACTGTGAGTGTTATAATTATACTTATATATTCTTGAAATAGTCTAATTCTTAAGTTTAAAACTTTACAAAGCGCGTTTAATCGGTTTTGGCGATACGCTAACCTTAACCGATTTGCACAGATCAATCAAAAATGGATTCCCATCATTTGTTTGCTTTCTTTTACCAACATCTCCATCTGGAATGGCTAAAGCAATATTAATCTCAACATTGCAAGCTTCAGACCAAACCTGATGGGATACTAAAACATTCGTTAATAAACGAATATCATTCCGTTGCGTTTGATCAGTTTTATCAAGATTTAGCGGTTTCATATGTCCGGGTCTCGGTAAAATAACTTGTGTTTTTTGATCGGGGTATTTTACTTTTAGTCTGACTCTACTAGCATCAGACAAATTCAATAATTCAGCCTCAAATGGCACAGACATTATTAAACCCGCTGTAAATTTCAGAGTATTGTCTGATTGCCCGTTGGGATCAATGATTTGCACAGTTGTCATTCGAATATTTGTATTCGACATTGGAGTCTTCCCTAATTTAGCGTCTTTTAAGATAGGTATTAAAATACGTGCGACTGTACCTGGTTTAGGTTCCTCTACAGTAGCTAACTCTTTAAACAACGCTTGAATGAAAGCGTCAGGTTCAAAAGTTTCAGCGTTTTCCATTTCTTTTTGCATCTCTTCAACAGCAGACAGAAAGTGATGACATGGTGCAAGTGCAGATGCATTACTACCTTTGACAATGTAAACTAAATTGAGTCCTAGAGCACGCAGACGTAACTGTTTAACAGCTAAATATTCATTTGTGCTTAAACCAACGAACAAATGCTGTAACTTCATACAATTGAGTAATAATTGATCAATGTGACTTTTTAGAGTATTAGACTCTTGCATTGCAAGGTTTGAATTACTCCAGAAACTCTTTTCTAGTAATTGTGACATTAATAACTGTGCGCCAATGTACAACGAGGTGAATTGCGCTGTACCGGCTACATTATCATCCATTTCACTCAAACGTTTGAGATGTTCCTTCGCGCTTTGAAATAAAGTCGTTTGGACACGAGATGTGTTCATATCGCGGTTTAAATGGTCGATTATATTGTTTAAAAACTGTAGACTTTCCGGAACTGTAGTCGGACGGGCAATCGCGACTCCATTTTCATTGGGTAGACAAAGTTCAGGTACTAACGTTGGTAGAGTGTCACGAAGATACGAGTAATGTTTCAGGATCTGCGGTTCTAGCAGCGGGACGATCGTTTGTGAGTGTTTTGCAGCGTTGAGGACCAAGATTAATATACAAATATCTATAGAAATTAAAATTAAGAAAAATATCCTGCTAAATTGGTAAAAATTTGAGTGTAAAACATGATTTATGAAAAGGATACAATTCGGATTGTCAACATCACATTCAGCCATGTCAAAGAACGGATGCATCATCAAAAATTGCGGTACTAAAGGCAGCACCAAAGCAGGATGTCTCCTACCAATGCACTGCAAGCATCTGTACGTTGATCTTCTATCATTTGGATATTTCTTAAGATTATCCAATAATTTCTCGACGCAAATGCGTAATCCTGTAGTAGTTGACAAGGTGCTCGACGCCAACATTCTGTGTAACCCTTCGCGGACTTCAACGGAACAATCTTCCAAAGCACCAAGAATTGTTTCCAATTGATCATCACGCAGTGTAATAGATTGTGATATTTGTGTCAACGCATCTATTGCTTTAATACGCACATCTTCAATTTCATCGTTGAACATATCAACCAAAAAGTCCAAGCATAAATTTGCAAAGTGCAGATTATCCAAGGACAGTTCACAGAGTGATTCGACTGAGGCTGAGCGTACTTCGAGGAACTCATCTTCAAGTCCATGCACAAATGCACCGCATGCACCGCTACTCATGAGATTAATAGCGTCGGCTTGGATTTTTTCGCGAGGTTTATCATCGGCCCATTTTTTCCGCTTGCCCATTCGCCACTTGCAAGATTTTCAATTGCTAACTCATGCGCAGTACGCTAGCAACACAATATAATTAATTTCACCGTTAAATATAATAAATTAAGTATAAATACCTTTCTACGCATGTTTGACATAAGTTTTTGTCCAAAGTTTGGTTTAAAAACTTTCCGCTTACTAGTTTCATGGAACCCAAAAGTTTAGCAGCGTGTTGACGTACGTGCATGGATAAATCATTGACGCTATTGCAGATTTTCGCGAAAGCGTCGTCGATTAAACGAACTTCTTGTTCACTGTCAGGTAATACTATTATACTGTAAATATTCATTTATTTTAATAGTAATTGTCTACAGAAAGTAGTTTAATTTATAATATACTTACTGTTCAGGATATGCATTAGCCAAAACACATAACATTTGCAAAACAACTTTCCTCACACTTTCGTAATCATCTTTGAGTGCTTCACAAACATTTATATAAATATTTGTACCAATTTTGAAACCTCTCTCATGCAGTTGAATCATAGTTGAGAATGCTTGAGCCCTCACTCTTGCATCTTCATGATTAAAGTAACACTCAACTAAATAAATCAACTTTTCCAATTCTTCACCACTTTGAACAGGTGTCAAACTCCCAATGATTTGCAGACATCTACATTTGACTGCATGACTGATATCTTTTAGATTACTCCTTGCCAGATCAATGATGGAATTTATTAATTGAATGTTACTTTCTTTGATGTATTTGCTCAATCTGAGGAATGAATTCATGCCTTGTGCAATCACTTTGTGAGAAGTTTCATTCTTCAGCAGAATGAACAACTCATCTGCTATTTGTGTTATTGAGCCTGCATCTAAACTATGCTCAGTTGCAATGTCACCAAGCAATGAGAGGATTTTCACACGGACGGCACTCTCTTCTTCTTTTTGGAAGTGTGCTGAGAGTTTTGTAACTGCTTCGTTTACATCGGCCGCATCCAGGTCGAACGCATCGGAAATGCGTAGTAATGTGTGGAGGGCTTCATTACTTGTTTTTGCTCCCTCAAGACAACTTATTAGAGCTAGTGCGGTGCTCTCAGTGGTTGGTTTTTTCACCAAGCGGAGTTTTTTAATCTTTTGAGGAACGTCCTATAAAATATTTGTTTATAAATAGTGAATTCTATAATAATTATGTAGTATATCTTACATGGATGACTTGTGTTTGGGAAAATTCGGCTAATGCGCGTTTCTTGAGCACTGCAGCCATGATTTATGATGAAGTATTTTAATTGGGACTTATTATAACTTCATAAAATGTAGAAATTAAATTTAATACTAGTAAAATCTGAAATTCAAGCTATTGAATTCTGTTTGTTATTCTCATACAGAAATTTCTTTTAGGTTATGTTTAGATTTGAATCATTTCTGGTAGTCTGATTTTATTATAACCACACATTGCCGACATGGCTGCATTGCGTTATTTTTCACAAAAAATACTTAATAAACATATAAAACTACCCGCAAAAGTGCAATTAAACAGTGTATTTGTGCTACAGAATCGTTTGAAGTCCACATTTCAGTATGGTAAGCCTTTTTAAACTTCTTAAAATCTTTTCTTGAAGTAAGTAAATTTATTGATAATAATAGATAACACAAAAGATCCCGCGCCGTTGTTCTTCAACAAACAAATCCAAGACCTCCTCTACACGCTAACCAGAGTAGACCTCAGTAAAGTCTACAGCAAAAGAAAACAAGGCACAAGTCATCTTGCCCAACCAGTCTACAAATTTATGACTGATGATCAACTGCAGGAAGCTATCCAGGAAGCAAAAGATGCAGTCAAAGACCTCATTCAAATGCCCCCTGTGGTAATGCCCAGAGTACCAATTGACACCATCCTCAGCAAAGATCCAGCTCTCCAAGGTATGGACACAGCCAAATTTGTTTTCACTGATATCACTTATGGTATCAGCAATGCAGACCGACTTATCATCGTGCGTGATCTGGATGGAACTCTCAAAAAAGTCGATTGGGATGTGCGTGATCGCATGAATCAGGTGTATTTCCCACTTCCGGGGCGTGAAATTCGCATGCCAAAGATGTTTGAAGAGCACAACTTGAAATCTCTATTAGATAGAGGAGAATATGTGTTTATTTTGGACAGAGCATGCCTTCAATTCGAACCGGACGATCCAGAATATCATCGAATCACCGAAGCTACTTATCTGTATGTAAATGAACACGATGGGTTTAAAGCGTTGAGATCTACAAGACATTTTGGCCCATTGTCTTTCTATTTGTGTTGGTTTAAAATGTGTGACAACTTGTTGATGGAGTTATTGGAAACTGGAACTATTGGCGAGGCGATTTGTTTGGTCAAGTTATACACACAAATGCATAAAATAACTCTGGAAGGTGAAGATGATATGCTAGTAGAGAACTACATCAAAGAACACGCCTCGAAACGCGGAGCTTTAGAATTAGCACTTCAGGCGTTTAGAGAACTCGATCGGGAACGGAGACAACTCGAAGAGGGAATTAAAGTTGCGCATGGACATTGAACTAGTTAATTTTTAGTCTTATAATATAAATTTTCATGAAAACAATGTTTTATGTTGTATTACTTCATAACAGCTGGGTTTACAACCCCAGTGAGTTGAGTATATTGTTTTGATTTGCCTGTCAACGCGATGAATTGCTCAGCAACCTCCACTGCAACGCGGATTTGAGCTTCACCAGTGCTAGCGCCTAAATGAGGAGTCGCCACTACTTTGTCATGCTGGATGAGTTTGAGAGTGATGGGATTTTTCGGTGGTTCTTCTTCGTAGACGTCAATTCCAGCCCCGCCGCATTGTCCTTTCTCAATAGCCTCCAAAAGATCTCCTTCATGGATGATTCCACCTCGGGCGACGTTTATCACACGCATTCCTTTCTTACATTTAGCGAAGACATCTTTGTTGATCATATCTACACAAAAGGTAAATATTTATTAAAATAGTGTTGATTTTGTATTGAAAAGAAACTTACTTCTTGTTTGTGGAATAAGTGGTGTATGAACAGTTACATAATCAGCTCTGGGCCAAATTTGTTCGAGTTCTAGTTTTTCAACATTGAACTTTGCAGCATCTTCAGCGGATACAATAGGATCAAAACCAATTGTCTAAAAATTTGTATGTTTTATTTGTTTTTTTATGTAGTGTTTAAATTTTTACCGTCATGCCGTAAGATTGCATCCTAATGGCGACTTCTTTACCAATTCTTCCAAGCCCAACAATCGCCAGTGTTTTACCGGCTAATTCATGTCCGGAATACAATTTCCTGTCCCAACGGCCTGCTTTGAGACTAGCCGCAGCAGGAACTACATTTCTTGCCAATGTGCTGATCAGAGAACAAGTCAACTCGCAAGCACTGATTGCATTACCACCAGGTGTGCTATAATAAGGTATTTATTTAAATGAACATTTTGGTTGCACCATTGCGTCATGAATTATTAGAGGGTCAAGTTTCATCAAGTGCTTATCAACAGTTATCGTCCCGATGGTGAATAATATGTTACGTAACAAAGATACAACTGACGCGCGCGTTAAACGATGGAAACTTTTTGTTTTTCTCTTTGATTACATGATTGCGTCAAATGTTTACGACATATACTGCTACAGAAAACATCGGTGATGATAAGATGCACAAATAAGTGATAATCTAGTGTAATTTTTGGTACTTACTTGAGAACAATTACTTTCTTTGCGGTTGCTGCCGGAATGTCAATGTTATCTACGCCGGCACCGGCTCTGCCGATTGCTTTCAGGCGAGATCCAGCGTTGATAACATCAGCGCTCACTTTCGTATCAGAACGCACGATAATACCATCGTAATTCTGGAAATTCATTAAAAATAAGTCATGGGAGTTCAAAATTTATACATTGAGTGATTTAATGAGTGCATTTTAATGCTGCATACAAAAGCATGGTTTGAGACGAGCCCACAGAATGCACTCAAACTTGTTGTTCAAACTGTTGAAACTGATTAATTCAAGGCCGCATTGTAAGGCGTTGCACGCTTGGTCACTTTATTCATTTTAACTTCATCAATTTATTGAAGGGAATTGGCCCCAATGAATTCTAGATTGTTCCAGCGATTTATTGCCATTCAAATTTATTTTCAATTAACAATTAAAATGAAAACCAAGTTTAAATGCGAAAACCGGTTCAGGTCTCGTTTATTTTTAACTCTTTTTGGGATTTTAACTTAAGAAAAAAATAAAAACTTGTTTACTCACTTGAATCTGCTTGATGAGCTCTTCCTTGGGCAGTTTGTACTTGCAATCGACCTGAATGCCGTTTTTCACGAGTAAATCGACGCATGATTGATCGACGGCATCCGCAACCAGTACTTTAGTGATGGCCAAGTTCGGCATGTTGAATGAACGTTAAGTTTAAGAACTTTAAAACCGTTAAGAGGAGCGAAGCAACCGGCTTGTGTAGCGCGGCAAGTTGAATATTCGTCTGATCAGAATTTCAACTCCGTCGAGGAGTTTTATCAAGTTGCGTGCGAGTTAATATTTCCCCACCACGGTTTATAAAAGACTCTATATCATTAATTCAATATGTCCACAAGGAAAATAATTTGTTTAGACTTTATCGTATCAGTTAATTAACTTTGTATTATTTTACAAAGCAAGAAAAAATATAAATCAACTGAAAGTAAAATAAAATTTTATTTAAACTGGTTGAGAAATATGTTATGTGGGAAGTCTAACTAAAAATCAAGATATTTACATAAATCTTAAAACAAGTTAATTGATTTATTTTAGCTGTTTAAATCATTTATTATACATAATTACAATTTCTTTAAATATTCTACATTAATTTGTCTTGAGTTCTTCATATTTTAGTCCCACTTGTAAATCTTGCCAGGTGTTGGAATCTTAATTTTTTCACAGGAGGCATCTAACAAACTCTGATTTGGAACCTCTACGGGCGGTTTGACTTCGCGGCGAGCATCACGAGTGCAATAATAATTCGCACTCAGGAGATGAGCACAACCATCGGGAAGAGCTGGTGGTGGAGGCGATCTTGTAACCAGGTCCTTTTCGAACCTCACAGCAAGCGTATGCTTACGCCCCAGTAAAAAATTACGGAAAATTTGTAAGAAAGGGCCGATATCCCTGATATCCACAATTTTCTTAGACATTTTGTAAAGATAACTCGCGTTTACTTAATTTGTTATTGAAATTTACGATGTTTCTAAGAATTGTTGGTTATATTTGTGACAAGAGAATTATATAACATAGTTTATAGTTTAATCACTAGAGTGCGCTAGCATGCTGATTATAGAGTAAATCAAGTTGCGTTTGGTTCAAGATTGTTTATTTTGAAACGCTAACAGCATTACAAACTACGAGTATAACGGAGTCACCTCGAAGGAACATCTTGGAGATAAATCTATCTCTGTTGATAGATTTCTTACACTTGCGTCCCTTATCTTTACGGCCAGGTTCAATCCACATTTCACGGACGTTTTCTATCACCATGTTCATGTGACGATCGAACATTGTAACGCGTCCAAGCAGTTTCTTGTTGTTGCGGCAACTGATAAGTACTTGAGTGTTGTTAAAGACGGCTTGTTGGAGTAATGAATATGGACCAACCGTGAATTCTTCGGATAATTGTTTGGCCAGTTGTTGATTCATTTTGGTGAACACAAATTATGGTGAGTAAAGTAAAATTATTGAATAATATTAATTGTTTGTGAAAAGTCGGCTGGGTATTTTTGTTTTGTTGATTTTTTCATTGTTTATATTTTGTTTATATTATTAATTTGTTTGTTACAACATAATCATAACGTTTAAATTTGATATTTTCTTCATCAAACGCGAGAATAAGTTTGAAATAAAAGTAATTTCATAAAATGCGCATATTAATGACAAAAAATGTAATTTTTCACCTAGGACAAGGTTGCATTCACACATGCACGTACGAATTGTGTTGCATAAGTGCGACTGTACACTTTGATTTATCCCCGTACGAAATCCACGTCTAAATGAATTGCGCACACATGAATAAACTCATGGACAGTCGCGCAACCTGCGAATAAGTATAAGCATACAACAACGAACTTCTACCTCGTCTACCTCTGAACTCTACGTGCGACAAAAGCGAAGAAACGATTGTCAAGTGCAGCGCAGTCGCTCGCTGGCCGTGGTTTCGCGCAAATCACACTCGGTGCGCGCGTGCGATCCGAATACGCGTTAAAAACTCGATCGAACGCAATCTGTGATTACAACAATAAAAAACACCCTTTTAAATTTATAAAAACTTTAAATTAAACTTTTCCGTAGAAGTAGCAAGGATTAAATAATGTTTTTGTGTTAATTTCAACCAAAGAAAGTTGGTTTAGAATAGAATAAAGCATGTTTTCCGAGATGCGGTTTAGTTTACTAAATTTGGTTGTTTTCGCGGTGCTGGTGAGCAATGTGACGTCAGATGGGTAAGTGTAAATCATTATGAATCATATCAATCATTTGAATTTTATTTAACAATTAGATTTAATGTGTATTGTGACCTTTGTATGTGCAAATCAATTAAAATATTCAAAATTCAGACAAAAGGTGTTTGTTTATTCGCGACTTGCGTGGGAGTTTGTCTTTGATACAACACTATCCAATTTATTCACGTTACGTGACAATATTACATGTTATATTATTCATTGTTTCAGTATCGCAAAGTTACTTCAACAAATAGAAAACATGTAGTAGCAAATAATGAAACAATTTACGTGAAACATTTTTCATTTTTTTGCTAAGTAGGTTAAGTAATTATACTTTTTCTGGCTTAAAACTGGCTTAAAAAGATGCAGATGATGTCATCACGGTCATCACGCATATGCAATTCGTCCAAAATCGTTTACACCTCTCAGGTGATGAGTAATAATAAATATATGGAACAAATATTACTCACTTTTTATTATATATCATTTTTTACTTACACAGGAAGTTAAAAAACACTAAATAAGAACCAATTAATTATCTTGATTTATAGATCTGTTTAATTACTCTTTACTTACAGAATATCCGTTTGATTTATGAACAAAACAAGATAAACATGTTTTATTGTTGAATTTACGTCTTAAAAGACAATAAAATCGATCTAAATATAAATGTCGTGATCGTGATTAGCGATTTATCTTTAACAGAGGTATTTAAACGGAATTCTTTGATGGAAAACACAAACCAGATTCCGATTTGTTTTTTACTCGCTATTGTTTGGTATTCAACGCACGATTTCCTTTTCTCTGTGAAACCGTTGATACACGGTAACCGAAGATATGAAAGGGAAAGTTTCGACGTATTTAAGTGCTAATCTTTCCTGTACGAGTCAAATTGGTCAATACCAATAAACTTTACTTGCTACTTACATAGATAAATTTTCAATTTGTTGCTGTTTGCAATACCTGTAACTTTAAACACTTGACTTTTAAGTTGTGCTTTTATAAAATAGAAAATGTTTACATTTCTTGCTCAATATTTTTCTTGTCTTGTTGAGTGAAAAGTTACGACATTTTCTGGACTTTTAAAAACATGCAATAAATTAATTTGTTGTAACTAATACCGAATAAACGATTTCTATCTTCTGCAAGTTTCCATATTGATCACAGCAAAGATTTGAAATAGTTTCTTGTATTTTCCAAATCGGGATTGTTCTTGTTGGACTGTCGGATTTCACTTTTTTCTTGAATTTTGCGTAGGTTCTACAAGGTGATCGGGCCGCGCACCGTACGCCCAAACAGCGAATTCCATGTGGCGGTCTCCACGCATTCGACATCCGTGCCGACGACCGTCAGCGTTGCCGTCGTCGGTACCACTCTACACGGAAAAGCCTTCTCCGTCGAGGAGAGTGCTACTGTATTACCATACAGTACAAATATAATTAGACTTAAAGTAATTCACTTTTAAAAATTCTACAACTAATTTCTTAGTCTTTTTTGAATCGAAATTTGTATTAATATACATTCCAGATTGATGATATCGAAGATGGTGTCTACAAACTAGTCGCAAGAGGCTCAGGAGGTGTACAATTTCAATCAACATCGTCTTTAGATTACGTCAAGAAATCCTACTCGGTTTTAATACAAACAGATAAAAGTGTCTACGATCCAGGCCAGAAAGTTTTATTCCGCGCGTTAATTCTAAACAGCGATTTGAAACCAGCCTCTGAAGTTCGTAATGAACCGATATCTGTTTATATCTCCGATGATAAAGGCCACAAAGTCAAAGAATGGCGTCGGATAATTGCACCTCGGGGTGTTTTCTCCGAGGAATTACAACTTAGTCGCCGACCAAACCTTGGAAATTGGAATATTTCCGTGCAGATTCACGATCAAGTTTACAACAAAACATTTATGGTTGCGCAATATATAGAACCCAAACTGATGATTAATATTGACGCCCCCAAGCATTTAACGTTCCAGGAAAACGTTTTAACTACTCATATTACGGCTCAGTATAAATCTGGGAAGAAAGTACGTGGTGATGCAACGGTGACAGTTTATCCCCACGATTAATTCCGGAGTAATTCAACCAATATTCCAAAATCCTGTCAGGAAAGTTTACCCGATTGATGGGGCGCTTACAGTTAACTTTGATGTTGCAAAAGAGTTGAAATTAAGCGATGAATATGAACGTACTGTTGTTGTTGATGTTATAATTGAAGAATCTTTAACTGGAAGGAGGCAAAATCATAGTGTTGAAGTACAACTGCATAAATACGATTACAAAATGGAATTGATCAAAACAGCTAATTATTTCAAGCCCGGAATGGTTTATACTACTTATGTAAGTGTAAAAATATTAACATAATGAAAATGTGTTATCTTATTCATTGTTTTTTGTAGATTAAAGTATCTAATCATGATGGGAGTCCACTTTCGAATGATCGTCGTTCAGTGGGTTTGCGTTATGGCTTTTCACGTGTTGATGATGTTTACACCAAACATAAAATCGTCCTCGATCGTAATGGAATGTTTAAACTTGAGCTGGACACCCCAATGAACGCTAACAACAATACTGCTCTTCGTGTTGAAGCAGATTATTATGATTTATATGAACGATTACCACCGGTACCAGCTGCTGTGTCCTTCAGCAATAATTTTATGCAGATTTCGATTGAAATCGAGCGTCCAATCGTAAATCAAGATATAGAAGTTCTTGTAAACTGTACTGAAAGAATGAAGTATATAAGCTATGTGTTGATGGGTCGGGGTGATGTTATCATAGCTAATAGCATCAAAGTTGATGCATTGAGAGAGTATCGTTTTCATTTTACTGCTACGCATGCCATGGTACCAATATCTCATCTGTTGGTTGATTATGTCCGGGATGATGGCGAAATGATTTCGGATTCGATTGATATACAAGTGGAGGGAATTCTGCAGAATTTTATTGACTTGCAAACGAATGCGGTGGAAACATCTCCGGGGACTGATATTGATATTACTGTCAGAGCACAACCAAATTCTTATATTGGTTTGATGGCTATTGATGATAATATTAATATGATTAAGAAAGGACATGATTTAAGTCAAGATATGGTGGCAAATGAGTTGTATATGTATGATGCAGCTAACGTATCGCCATATTTAGCGATTACGAAAGGTAGCAAGACGAATTTCTATTGGAAACAAGGATCAAGTAATGCTCGGGATATGTATTATGTAAGAAATACTTGTTTTAAACTAAATATGTTAATGATTCAATGTTTCAATTTAATTTTAGTATTCTGGGGCTAGTGTTCTGACAAATAGTTTCCTGACAACTCGTCGTCCCACACGTAAGTTATTATTGTATTATATTAACTAAATTGTTTAAATTCTGATGTTGATATTTTAGTGGAAGATATTTACTTGCGTCCTGTTCATTATGACGCGTCAACAGTAAAACCTGATCGCGGTGTAGGCCTTCCAATCTACAGCGTCACTCGTCCGCCATTAGCAGGACCTTACGCTTTCAGTAGAATACCTAAACCAGTTTGGGACAAACCTAAAGTTTATCTTATGAATGACGTAGCGGATACCTGGCTCTTTAACAATTTCTCCTCTGGTTTTGAAGGAAAGACTTCAATCAGACGACGCATTCCTAATACTTTAAATACTTGGAGTATTACTGGATTTTCATTAAGTCCTTTGCATGGCCTGGGATTAGTAAGCGTCCCGAAAAAGATCAGAGTATCAAAATTGTTTTCGGTAAATATTGAGTTGCCGTATGAAGTACAACGTGGAGAAACTGTACAGGTGGTTGTTGTGGTTCAAAACCACATGGACAAAGATGTTACTGCTGAGGTTACACTGCACAATCCTGAACAGAAGTTTGTATTTGCTGAAGTTTCTAATGAAATTAATGGAACAATTCAAAGTATGCATTCTAATACATTTTTATTTTTCTTGTTAATTTTGAGTAATAATTTTAGAAGTGGAATTATATCGTCGTAAACGTACTGCTATCAAAAAGAATAATTCGGCATCTGTTGCGTTTTCCATAACTCCACTAAGAATTGGACCAGTGGAACTTAAGGCAACCGCAAGTAGCTCATCAAATCAGGATTCAAACATTCGTGTGCTTAACGTTAAAGCAGAAGGTGTAACGTTACACTTTACAAAAACTATTTTTATTGACTTGACAAAAAGCAACACATACAAAGGCAATGTTTCCATTGAAATACCTAAAAAACGTAGTTCCCAACTCAGAAGATATTCAAGTTTCGGTGGTTGGTGATTTTATCGGTCCGATTTTGATGAATTTAGATGAATTAATACGTTTGCCTACTGCTGCTGGTGAACAGAATCTTGTTCACTTTGTGCCTGATTTAATTGTTTTAAAATACTTGCAAAACACGCAACAATTAACACCCACCATACAAAATGAAGCTATAAAGAATTTGGAAACCAATTATCAACAGCAGCTTACCTATCGTACAATGGATGGTGGTTTTAGTATATTTGGAAAAGAACATGAAACGCCAAGTATTTGGTAAGTTAAGTACAAATTAATTGATGTAAAATCCTTAAAATGTTTAATTTTTTAGGGTAACTGCTTACACAGCAATGTCTTTGGCCCAAGCTAAAAACTACATCTTTATCGAGAACGTCATTATTGAATCAGCTTACGAATTCCTCTCAAACGCTCAAAATTTGAACGGTAGCTTTGTAGAACGCAGCGCCATTATTCACAAAGATGTTCAATCATCAGATACAAACTCATTGGCTCTAACAGCGTTTGTTACATTATCGTTTATGGAAAATGAACATCCCGAATCTAAGTATTCCAATAGTATAAACAAAGCATTGGATTATATTGCACGAAATCTTGACGAAGCAGATTCTGAATACACCGTCGCCATTTGCGCTTACGTCTTGCAGTTAGCTAACCATCCGAGCAAACTGAGTGCATTGAATCTTCTAGATTCAAAAGCACAATCAAAAGACAATAAAAAATGGTGGAGTAAGCCAGTATCACGTAAAGAAGATAAGAATCCATGGCACAAGTTGCCTAAATCTATGGATATTGAAGCAACCGCATATGCTTTATTGACACTGTTTGAAGCGAACTTAATTGAAGACGCTATGCCAGTCTTAAACTGGTTAAATGACCAAAGGAACAATTTAGGAGGTTTTACAAGCAGTCAAGACACTAGAATAGCATTATATGCTATGTACAGGGTTGCGTTGAAATTGGGACTAAGCTCAAACTGTCAAATTGAGTTTGCTTATCGTAAACAGGAAGTTAGAAGGTTTAACATCAACAGGGACAGTGCTATGATAGTCCAAAGATCACAATTGGGTGCTTCTGCTAGAGACATTAACATTACAGCGAGTGGATCTGGTTTTGCACTGTTTCAAGTTTCCTATGAATATAATATGAATGTAACAGGTCCATGGCCATTGTTTACGTTGGATCCACAAGTTGATAAGAATTCAAATCGATATCATCTTCAGTTATCCGTCTGCACAGCGTAAGTTATAAGGTAATTTAAAGTTGAGGATATGTAATAAATTATTTTTTGTAATTTTAGCTTTGCAACAAGAAATTTAACTGATACACCGGAAAGCAACATGGCCGTCATGGAAGTGAACCTTCCTTCAGGGTTTACAGCCGACATGGACGCGTTACCAAGCTTGGAAGTATCACAGAACGTGCAGAAAGTTGAAACAAAGAATATGGACACCACAGTCGTATTGTATTTTAATAATTTGACAATTAACGAGTATTGTCCGACAGTGTCAGCTTTCCAAACACATAAGGTGGCAAACCAGAAACCTGCAGCAGTTGTAGTCTACGACTATTATGATAGTTGTAAGTAAATTTATTGATTCTAACAATTTGTGTTTTAATTTATTGTTATTTTGCGTTTAGCACGACAAGCACGGATTTTCTATAAGGGACGTCGGTCGTCTTTGTGTGACATTTGCGAAGATGATGACTGTGGAAACGTGTGTGCCGCTGAAGCTGAAAAACAAAGAGCCGAAGAATCTAAAGATGAACCACGTGCGTCAAATATTAAAGATGATGCTGTTATTCCAATGATCAACACCTTTATTCTTCTCATTGCCATATCATTTCAATTATTATTCTAATTTTCTCTTACAACTAAAAGACTAAACACTATAAAAAGTTTTCTTGCTAAATTATATAATTACTATCACAATTTTTGTATAACGAAACTTATTTGTTAATGATTGTACGTTGTTCTTTAATATTTCCATATCTTACTCAGAGATATGATGTGACATAAATGTTAATTGAAGTTATTGAACAATGTATGATATGAGTTTCGTATTTATTTTGTCTATCATTAACTAATTAATAAATAAAAGGCTAGTCAATGCTCTTTTGTAAGTGTTTAACTGTATGTACATTTTAAATTTTGTTTTTTATTGTAACAATCATTTTATACTGTTTTAAATACTTTTGTACTTATAATAATGTGATACTTAAATGTTTACTAATATTGTTAATTTGAAAGAATAAACCTACAAAAAATTACATTTTTAAAGAACACTTTGTATTATTTATCCCGCTGAATTTCTCTTTACAGGTGTCATAGGACCATAGAGTTTTTAATCATTTATTTTAGCAATATTATGTTTTTACGAGACCACAGGACTCATATAAATGCGGGGAAATGGAGCTAGAACCCGAATACAAACGTGTGATGTGCCCTAATGACCTAGAGTATTTTAAATTTCCTTTGAAATTAATTTCGATCGATAGATGGCGCTCACGATGGTCAACAAAAATATTTTAGGCCGAAAGACAGGGTCGAACTTTTTTAATGAAATTATTACCTGTCGAAGAACAGGGTCGAACTTTTTTCATAAAATTTTTCAGGTCGAAACTGTTGATATGGTAATTATCTCGAGAACTAACAGAGCTAGGAGAGAAAAAACTACATATTCTTGACCCTTGAAGAATTCTAGACAAGATGGCATATTTTACACAAAACGAAGAAATGGGCACAAAAAATTTTTAAAGAAAAGATTTTGTTATAAAAAAGGCTAAACATTTCTCTTTTTTATGTCGAATGCAGTTTTTAATAAAATTGCAAATAAGGCCTAAACAGTTAATGGCAGCAAAAAAAGTTACTTAAATAATCGATGTAGAATTAAATCATCTCTCAGAATCCAAAAACAGAATCTGAAAATTCCAACTTTTAATTTTTGACATAAAAAAGAGAAATCTTTTGCCTTTTTTATAACAAAATCTTTTCTTTAAAATTTTTTGTGCCACTTTTATCATTTTTCAGTAAGGATGCCATCCTGTAGAGAATTTTTCAAGGATCAAGATTATCACGTTCTTTTTTTTTTCTAGCTCTTTTAGTTGTCGAGATAATTAGATAAAAAGATTTCTCTTTTTTATGTTAAAAATTAAAAATTGGAATTTTTAAATTCTGTTTTCGGATTCTGATTCATAATTTAATTCTACATCGATTATTTTAGTAACTTTTTTGCTAGCATTAACCGTTTAGGCCCAATTTGCAATTTTAATGATAAAAGATTAAAATAGTAATTATTTCGACAACTAAAAGGGCTTGAAAAAAAAGAACATCATATTCTTGGTCCTTGAAAAAAATTGATAAATGATAAAAATGGCACAAAAAATTTTTAAAGAAAAGATTTTGTTATAAAAAATGCAAAAGATTTCTCTTTTTTATGTTGAAAATTAAAAGTTGTTTTTCGACGGATAATTTTTTCATTAAAAAAAGTTCGACCCTGTTCTTCGGCGGGTAATTTTATCATTAAAAAAAGTTCGACTCTGTTCTTCGGCAGATAATTTTTTCATTAAAAAAAGTTCGATCCTGTCTTTCAGCATAAAATATTTTTGTTGACTATGTTGAGCGCCCTCTATCAACCAAAATTAATATCAAAGGTATATTCAATTTAAATATAAAATAGTGAAAAAATTATTATGTCGGCTATTTTAGGGCATTTTCTAAGGGTTTTGAAGGTCTTGAAGATAGCCATTTTAAAGAGGGACTCTTTAACTAGCGCATGGCAATAAAATAGTCTAAATTCATTAATTGGTTTCTGAAATACAGGGCGTTTTCCACACCAACTTTTAAATTTTTCTTAAAATAGCAATTTTAATGGGCATTTTAAAGTACTTTCTAAAGGGTTAAAGGGTCGGGAAGGTATCCATTTTAAAAAAGGGCTCTTTAGCTATTATATGACGGTAATATTGCCTGAATTGCTTTATTGGTTCCGGAAATATAGGGTGTTTTTACGCAAACTTTTTGAAATTTAAAAAATAGTCCATTTTAATGCTATTTTGAAGCACTTTGGGAAGATTTAGAAAACCGAAAAGGTACTGATTTTATAAAAGGGTTCTTTATCTTTAGTATGACAGTAATATGGATAGGGTTATGAAGAGTTTTATCTCAAAACTTTCAAAAATTTAAGAAAAAATGCAGTTTTTTGGTGCTACTGATTGCTACAAAAGGTGGCAAAGGCGAGATGTTGTTATTTACCTGTTATATAACCATCATAACATATAATTTGCACATGCATCTTTTGGATAAAGCCCAAAAAGCTACACCAACATCAGGTAATATATTAAAATGAACATATTACGACACAGTTTAATGAGTATAATAAATTATATTTATTAAGTTACAATAAATAAATTACAACAAATATAAATGTGTGCGTACACATTACATAAGTAACAAGTTGATTGTTTATCGATTGTTTAAGCTATAAATAAGCAGGTATTAGCATCGTATAGCGCAGATTAAAACATTCCCACTCGCTGTGTTAAAGATTTCATTAAAATGGCATCAAGAAAGACAACAATTACACCACAATTTTGTTTTGACTAGAATACACTCGACTTTTCGTAATTGATCATAAATCAAAAAATAATAACGACGCAACAAAACAATTCACGCCATTCAAAAATAATTTATACATTAAATATGTAATCAGTACAAAATTGCATATACACTGCAAGTTTGTCGATTAATTAAATCCTACGTGCTAGTGTTTAATTAGCATTTGTTTAAATATTTACGAGAATAACATATGTACTTTTTACCTATGCGGCTAACGGCTAAGCTATTCGGTATAAGAAAATATATATAATATCGTATATCATAAAATAGTTTTCTGTTTAGAATAATAGGAGTATTATTAAGTTAACTGACTCAGCTCATACCTACCAAACTTTAATTTCAATTCATTGATGTTCATTCATGCTCTTTGTGTTCTTGTTCCTGTTCGTGTTCGTGTTGATGTTTTGGTTTTTTAAAATTTGACAGACATGGTTGAAGGTCGAGTTAAAAGTATTTGATAATTTCGAATATTTGTAAAATATCCGTCGTACGACTAACAATGTTTTATATTCATGCGTTTCGTTCGTTTCTTTTTTAGATTTTGATAAAATAAATGATAAATAAGTTGATTAGTAAGCTCCGGGTCGTTTAGTAACTGCTTTCTGCCATCACGCTCCACATGAGTCGCTTGAAGGAGCCGCTCTGGTGGATGTCTTCCTGGTCGCCCATTGCGCTGCCGGATTGCTTTTGTGGCAAAGAGTAAACTGGTCCAGGTTTCTAATCAAAATATAAATATTGTAAATTGAATATTGGTAGAATAAATATTCCTTGAGTTAGTACCTTTGCTGCTGGGACCTTGTTGGGAGTGAAAATTTTTGCTTGCGGTGGCACGGCGACCTGGTGGATGACTTCACCAAGTTCTCCTTCTTTCACAGCTTTGTATGTTTCAGATTCTTCAGGATTGTACGTGGCTGCTGGCTTACGAACGCTAGCTCTATAATCAACAAATTTAAATTTAGGTTTTTCTGATTTTAATCTTTTTTTAATTTTTGCATTTTAACACAACACTTAATTAAATAAATAGTTATTTCTCTGAATAAAACACAAATAATAAAATAATTACTCACGCTGGCACTCCTGTTTGTTTGTAAATAGTATCGGCAATATTTCCTTCGTTGTACAAGTTGATGGGCGAATTGAATTGCTTGTGCACAATCTAAAATAATTCAAAAAATAAATTACCATCAAATAAATCAACCAAACATAAAATTATGAGGGGCAAACAATTAGTAGCTCTGATTCAGACATGAACATCTGTCGTTGAATGTTCTGCTCTGAAGGAAAGATAATTATCTGTTGAATAATCTTCGTAGATGGCAAAGAGACAAGAAAAAAACAAAACGGGGAGACTTTGAATTGAATAAAAAAAATGCTTGCAAAAATATCGACATTTACAACAACATTTAGAACTCGATAATAACCTGTTTGCTGGGATCTTCATTCTGTATTCTTTCGATAACAGATTTGGCCACCTAGATACGAAGATTTGCATTGGTGCAGAGAAACAAAGAAAAAACAATATTGCTATTAGTTACTAGACTACTTCTAAATACACAGATATTATATATTATTATATTATTTTACATCCTAATGATAGAAGCAGCGTATTTTCACATAAAATACTAAAAAATGTGTTAGTCCTGTAGTCAAAGCATTTTGAATTCAAATTTAAATTTAAAGCATGTTTAAACGCAACAACCTGCCGGTGGACATTATTTTATAAATTTAAATAGCTATTTCAGTACGGCCGTAGTTTTTGGGCCGTGGTGCGGCGAAAAACGTGGAAACACTCAAAAGCAAATTTTAGCGTGCGAATGTTGCTACGCAAATTAAGTTATCTAAACACTTGGCGCACACACAGCACCTAAAAATTATTTCTGCGGGTGGATTTCTTAAATTAAATAAAACAGGTAATTTGTACCTTTTCCTTGTAGTATTGATCGTGATCGATAAGATGATGCGGGCGTGCTCTGACAGTCGGATTCGGATGATGACGCAAATAGGATTCGGTTGGTCCGGCGTCACGTTTCACTTTTGCGCCAGGCAGGACCAAAGGAGTCGTGCGATACGGCTTTATTTTACAAATCACAAACAATAGACGTACATCACCATGATGACCATTTACATAAAAACAAAACACAACAAAAATAATTATTAATAGTTTAATTTAATTTGTTTAAAACATTGTAGTGGAATTGTTAGACAGTAAGACGTCGATCGTATTTTTATCTCTTGCGCATTACGCATAACAAGTGCTTTCGCAACTTTGTTAGGTCTATGCGGATGATCGTATTTTTAGTGTCGCATAAAACGATGAAACACATAAATACCAACACCTAACATAACTTTGACGTCACGCGAGTGGCAAGTGGCAGAATGTAAGACTTTCCCAACCGCTAAGCCTTAAAGGCGGGTTGGTTAATGTTCGTATTGCTGTGTAATAAACGTCGTAACACTTTTGACGAGTAATGCGAGTAATGAAGAACATCACAGCGTATTGCTCGACTAACGCACGCTGGATTTTCTTAAACCACCCACGTTCTACTACGCGCCGTGGTTTACTATAAACTTCGACGTTTGTTTATAATTATTTAGATTACGCACTGAATTTATTCGGTTTATTGGCAACCGAATTAGAATAATGATGGTAAAATAATATTTGCACTAAAAGTTATTATTATTTTTGATTGTTTCTATGTTGTAATCATTTTATTTACATTGCATTAGATTTCATAACGATTTAATCCGCGTGGACATTAATAAATCGTTTTTGGCAAAAACCTAGCCTAAGGAGATTTAATGTGAGATTTAAAATGTAGAGCAAAAGCTTTATACATTTTATTACGAGAAACAAATGCGATGACTTTATGCGATTGACACGATTTAGACATGAATCTAAAGAAACTACAACTTCTACAAGCTCACTGGGTTATTGTGGGTTGAAAGCAAAACACATAAATCAAGATCTGTAAACAGAGTGCAATATTGGCACAGTTACCAATTTGTTTCGAGTGGCATTGCAGTTGCAGCAACCGAAACGAAGACGCAAAACTAAAACCCAATGGATATCAATCATTTTTCTATTATATTTATCAATTTAAAACAAAATAAATTCCTGTATATTTAGAAAAGCACAAATTTTAGGTTAGGTGCCATATGTATTCTATGCTTTGAGTAGCGGTATAAGTACAGAACGCATCATAAATAAATTTTACTCTTTTCTACGCCCCGTATGATCCTACATGAATTTTAATTTTGTTTACGAACGTGTTGAAAGACTGAAAATGTCGCAACGTCACCTGCAGGTCACTCTGCTGCGCAAAAGGTCCAAAACTCCAAGGTCACAAAGCGTAATTAAAATTTTAATACAAATTGACCACAACAAACGAATCTATATCATTGCAAATTCCTGTCGAAGAATTCCTTAGACTTCAATCTTACAAAATACACGAGTGTTTCGTATTTAATGCGTTAGACGTCAGACGATGGCGTGTTATTTTTATTTCTGCTATTTATAAACGGAGAAGCGTGCAACCTTCGTACTATTCGCATAGAGAACTCCCCACATATAGCGGGTGTTTGCCTAATTATATCTAAGTGCGACGATAAATCCAATCAACGCGTAAATCGCATTTGAAAAAAATAAACGAAGACGTTACATCAAGTTATGCAATCGTTAACTTCAAGGGTTTGAATGTTTCATAAAATTAAATCGTCGTATGTATAAAAGAACAGATTCACAGTTTTACACCTTCACCTTTCTCTATTTTCACGGCTTGTCCCTTTACGCTATTAATACCAGTGAAAGAGTTCACGAGCGATTGAAAGAATTCGTTCTGCTTACCCACATTGTTGCGGCTTCGTCCTGGGGACGAAAATGCGTGTTGGAATAGCTACGTGACAGAAGCATTGTGTTTCCTTTGTGTGTTTGTACTTGTAATAATACTTTATAAAACTTTATATTAACCGAAGTGAGAGCGATTAATTTTACACCGATTGAGCACACTTTACGTCTTTGCGAATACCTGCCACCGACTGACGGCCCGTTATGAAATCAAAAATTATATAGCCCCACCCACGGGTTCTGAATGTGTGTAAAACTTTTCGAATCAGCGCGAAAACATTTCGCAGCTTTTTCCGAGTGGCACAAATGAACCCACTCACACTTTTGGAATGAATATGCGTGGTGTGAACGTGACGAATGCCACACGGGTTGCCATCTTGTTTTAAGACCGTGTTTACAATCGTCATATCAACACGTGGTTATAAATTTCCTCAAAAAATGTCAGAAAAATTAATAATAAGCTAATAACCAATTTGATCACATGCCAATAAATATTCAATTAATCTATAAATAATCATTTCGGGCGGTACCTGGTTGACGACATGTACATCCGTGTTGGGATCGTCCTTATTCCTGGCATGACGTGGGATGGCTTCCTCGACGGTATAGTGCATATGATCAAGAGGCGTGAATGGCAGTCCATAGTAGGGCTGAAGGGCTAACGCACCGGGACTGTACACAGATGGGCTGGAGACATTCCCACCTCTTGGTGACAAATGTGGGGACACCGACAGAGGGCTGTAGGTGTGCGATGAGCCGGCACTTCCAGGCGCTGCCTTTGCTTGCTCCCTTAAAGTAAACAAAGCATTCTGGTCAGTTGGACAAAATGAACCAATGTAGATTAGCAAAATCAGCAGGCCACGGCTTCGACCACGGCACTTCAAAAACAGGCGCCAAGCGTTTAAATATAAAATCTGTGCCAAATAAATAGTGCGTGTATCGTTCGGCACGGGCGTGCTAAATATCTGAATCGAAATAAGCGACTCCTGACATGATAAACGTATCTACCACACAGGAAAATGTAAAAAATAAATTTTTATTCACTCTTTTGTAAAAATGCGAATTTGTGTCAATAAATCAGCTGAGAATTTATTGAAATGAACATTTTTATAGTCACCGATTACCAGGATGAATTTATGTGGTGTTGTTGCGAGAGTAAAACGCAAATAACTTTTTGCATCATGCATCACTGCGATTGGCAGACGACTTCCGGTTGTTGAGCAACGCGTATTAAACATATAAACGCTTTTTATCTTTGCGTCAAACGTGCGCGCGGGCGCGAAAACCGGGAGCGAAACAAATGCCTCAGTCAACGTGTGTTCAATACAAGGGGGCTAAAAATAAACCGTTCCATTTGTTAATGATACGATCTGCGATGCTTTTTCGTGTAATAGAAAACGAAATCAATGTGCAAATTTCGCTTCGCATCCCAGCATAAATAAATCTTCATAATTTACGCTGCTTATGATTCATGTGTTTATGAAATGAAAACGCTTTTTGGAAAAGTCGCGAATTTATCCTAGGTTAGTACCCAAGTGTGTGCATCATTGCCGAAATAAAAATTTATTTACATAAGCTACAAAACATTTCGTACAGCTCATACAAAATATCTTACAAAAATATTATCACTCAAGGTTTTTTGTTTCAAGGCACACACGATTCGTAGCGCATTTTGTGTGGATTTGTGCTTGACTAGCAAGCTGGAGGAAGCGGTATCGTGCGATACAGCGCAGGAAGGGTGCGTTGTCTAAGCGAAAACCCAAGAAAGCAGAAAAAAGCAAGAGTTTTATTCATTTCTTTGCGGTAAAAGCGTTTATTACCTTTGCACAACTACGCGCACGGTGTTGCCGGCGTTGCTGAACAAAGTCTGCGCGTCCTGATGGCGGATATCGCGGGCGTCATACTGCCCAACCTTTGAGATAATGTCACCACGCTGGAGGTTACCTTCGGAAGGCGAACGGTAACCCACCTGCAAAGAAAATCATTAAATTAATAAAAAAATTCACAAATTTTTTAAATTACACTGATTTTAACCATTTTTTCTGTTTCAATTAACTTACTCGGGTGACAATTAATGGCGCATTAACATCGGACCCCCCGACTAAACTGAAGCCCCATTGTTCGGTCGGGGAGTCTCGGTGAAGAGTGACGACGAGTTCGTGCGTTTTGCCCCCCATTTACAGCGTGCCACAGTCAAACTAACAAGTGAAATTAAAATCACACCTTGCTCAATTTCAGAGAAAAGTTTAAAATGTTTGAATTGATGCTTTGAACCTTGAATCAGTTGTGTAACGTTCTGGAGCGTCGCGCGACGCGCAACTGAACGAGTAATGTTTATCGTTCGGTGTTTGCGTCGCTCGAGCGCGAGTGAAAATTCGATCCAAGAAAACAATTGCCAAAAAATGCCCGCACGCGTAACGTTCTCGTACTCGTACAACTCGAGCTGCGAACGTAATAAATATTTTCGTAACAAAAGGCTTGTTTATGTTTAGACTTGGATGAGCTTTCGAAAATTTTGAAAAAATTTATTCTTTGATTTTCACTTGTTGGCAGATTGGTTTTGAGATATTGTGACAAACCGGACGCACTTGTTGCAAAGTGGCGCGTTGTGTGTCGCAGAGGGTCAACAGGTTTCGGCACAGAGTGAATTTGGAAACACCTTCGGCCTTCGGCTCACCACCACAATCTCGCACAATCGCGCCACACTGACCAGCGGTGCGCGTGGCCGCTATCCCGGGACGCTTAGACGCTTTTCGCCATCGCGTCCCGGAGGATGTGCGAACGCTCCCCACTCGCCACTCGCGAGATTAGCATCCGCGCTGCAAGACCGCCGGCGTTCATTAAAACACCATTTGCCGGATGAAAATAGAACCGGCGAACGTGCGGACCGCGATATAAAAATGGACCGTCGCGTTAATGGCCATTCGATACACAAATTCGATTTAATTACCCGCGCTTGCAAGTTGCGAACACGTGTTTACGTTCAAATTTAATATAGGTACATGTCAGCGAATTATGCTGTACTAAATGTCACTAAATGTGCACGCCAATGTTTTCGTTCTTTGCTTCGGGCATACATTTTCGGCTAATTGAAGAGAGATTTAAAAATAGCGCCGTAATGCACATTTTTCACACTTGGATTTCGGTTGCATGTGTTTTTTCGGCACATTTTTTCAATTTTAGTGCGTGTTTACGATGTTTGCCTTTCATTTTTATTTCATTTCGTCCTCAATATGTCTCAATTTGAGAATATTTTTTCTGTTGATTATGTTTACTTTGTTTTGCAACCACATTTCAAGTGAAAAATGCTTGTTTTCGCAAAAACTTGACAAAAAACGTGTTTTTTAATCAGAAAAAGTTAAAATCATTTTACTAACACATTAAAAGCTTATTATTTTCCTTGTTCTAATTTAACCTATAAAAAATCAACCTAACCTCAACCATATTATGCAACCCATTGACATTGACTGAATTTACACCGTCCAAGGATGCGTCGAAACTCGTTTTTCATTCAGACAACAAGCAACTAAAAACTTCGACCGCGTTAGGTGGTTTGGTAGACATTCATAAAACGCGCGTGCGTTTGCATCCTTGAAGGCGCGAGTCCTGAAACCACGCATAGACTCCTGGCCCACGCTGTCGCCTGTTGCACAACACCAACGCGCGTTAACGCTATTTACCTAACAAATGTGTTTGGGATAACTTCATCCGCTAAAAACAATTTGTACTCTAACCATTTGCCAATTTGAAGCAATTTTAAACTCATTCAAGCACGAAATGAATATTTACCAACACGCAATCTTTTAATCTTTTCATCTTAGTCTTGGAAGTAGTTTGCAATTTGCTAATGAGAATTATGTTGTGGAAAAGCGTTCGTTAACGCTTAAACGAAGCAGGAAATCTCTTTGGCAAGCGCCAGAGATGCAAAAAAGAAGCCGCTTTCGACTTTCAACTGGAAATGGAGCACACCAAATTGTGTCCTAGTGTTCTAGACTGGTCAACCCAAATAGCGACCTTTGAAATAACTAGCACGCATGTGCACTTGCACTAAATAAACGCACAGATAAATGGCTGTCATGGCAGCTTGCATTTACCTTTTTATTCGTTGATCTATCAGCACATTTCTCGGCCACAAGTTGAACATGCAAATAAATCACGCTTTCAACCTCTGACAGTTGCATATTTAATATGTATTAGTTGGCAGCAATAAAAGTAATAATAAAGTAATAAAAAAAGTAATAGGCAGTTAAACAAAATTTCTAAATGCGCATGCGCACAGCTCTTTACTTCAATATTATTACTTCTAAGTATTTAATGGCTATATTTGTATAATAATGTTTAAAATTTTTGTTAAAAAGTCAAAAATGAACAAATTTGCTTTTTTTATGAAAAATCACATCAAAAGTGCAAAAAATAAATTATATTGATGTTTTTGTATTTTAAAGATAAATTTAATTGCATTATTGCTGCATTAAACGATTTTGCCGATTTGTAATCGCAGAGACATGTGGTCGGGCGCAGCGAAGCAATAAACAAAGCTGGCAGCTTTTCCTTGGCACCACTCGACAGCACACAATTGTTTTGCGCTTTCACCGTGTGTGCACATACAAAATCATAACAATTATATTTAAATCTTGTAACCAAAGGCGATACAGTCATCAGAAGCTTTCACATCCGAAAATAACTTACTTGTTTCTGTTTTTTACCCTGTCCAGACCTATAGTGCCAGAATGCAGGGCGTTGATAAGACATGATTTCACACTTTATTTATAGTATTTCTTAAAAATTTAAATTTCACTGCCGCACAAAAAATCTGCGTGTTGTGGCTTAACCCGGACTCCTCCACCGAATGAATGAATGTGCGAAGTGACAACCGGGCCGCAGTGGGTGCGAATTCGGGAATTATTTATAAAAAAACAAAAATGTCAAGTGCGTGTGGCGAGAATTTCGAGAAGCTGTATATGTGTGTATTGTGAGTGCGCGCGCGAATTTCACGCATTGAAACATTTTTTGTGAAAAGCGCGCACGCTAGGCACATTATTTTATTTCGCGATGATGGTGGGAGAGAAAGAAAAGCCCGGATGTGTGTAGGAATGGTAGGAATAGCGAAAACTTTTCACGGCTTGAGCATATTGCTTCTGAATATGTGTGTGTTTGTGTCAGGGATGTATTTTTAGAAATCGTTTCTTGCTTTTTCGCATTTGTGTATGTGGATATTTCGCATATTTTTATTGTGCGAGTATGAAGTGGGGAATATTATGAGTTTGCTTGTGTCTGTTCAATGTTTTTTCGTATGATGAAATCAAGATTTACATTCTAGAAGCAGGTCAACTCAGTTTCATATAATACACAAGCTTATGAAAATTTAAATACAAACAGGTGGTGACGGTCGAAAAATTTGTTTCTGTTTACATTTGACAAATATATGACAGTATTTTACTAGTTTATTGCAATGAGTAACATTTTTGTTAAACTATTCTATGGTCCCTACGAAGCCAACGGTGTTATTCGGCATAAAATACAAAAAATCTACGGCGTTAGAAGTATGCAACATTAATAATTCTATCGAGTAAAAATTTTAAGTCAAAGCATTAGATTTTGCTTGATATATGCAACCCACATAACATTTTCATGATTTAACTAAGGTTATATATGTTTCAGAGTATTTGGAATCCCAAGAGATCGAATATGAAGCTTTGGAATCACAGCATCTGAACAGGCTTTCAATCGAAATGAATGATCGTTTAATCTACACTTGTGACATACGTTTTTTGCGGTTCAATTTGCCTTTTGACGACGATATAGCAGGAAAACGTATAATTGAAACTATAGAATTCCACAAGGAGTCTTTTTCACAAGAAGCAAACATGCCAAAGTTCCCTGATGTTTCCGAAGGCATGCGAATGCGAAATCCAGACTTGGATGGAAGTTTCTTAGATGACACTTCATTATCTTTAAGTTCTGTTAATGCTCCTTGTAATTCTCTGCCAGACTACCCAATAACTGATGAAGAAGAAGGTGATGATAGGTGGAGTATGGATATAATAGATGCGCTTCGCAATTGGGAAAAAGACACCTTCCAATCGCCCTATTCGTATAACTACGGATGTATAATGCAGGAATCTGAGTCCAGTGATGATGTTGAAGCAATTGAAGAAGATACTAAGGAATCTTCTACAACCCAACCATCAACAGCATCTTCCTGTGCTTGTTTATCATTAGATCCACCTAGTGTCTATTCAGTTTGCTTTGATCCGAAGACACCGTTGAATACTGAAGTATCTCAGAAGGAATCTGTACAAGTTGATGATAATGTTGATGAACCGCATGTTGGTATCAAAGATATGAACGCTGATGCAGAGGCTACGTTCAGTTTGGCTGAATGGAGGGAGGTTTTAGAGTCGTATGTACCTACAGGGTCGGATGACGGAACTGATGATGATAGTTTGGATGATGTTGATCGAATCCTAGCTGGGGAAGGTGCTGACATTGATCATATAGGTGGAGATTCAATTTGTAGATATCCTAGGCAAAGCAGTCCGTCGAAGAAGGTGTTGATTGGTAGTATAGCGAGCGGGACTTCCATAATAGGAGATGAAGTAGAAGATGAATTTGAAGAAGATGTGCAATCGATGTATAATAGAAGTGAATCTAGTTCATGCTTGGACAGACTGAGAGTGAAAATACATGAGTTAGGAAAGAAAAAAGCAAAGGAGAAGTATGAACCTACGATTGTAAGCAGTCAGCTTTGTAAATCTTATAGTGGAGGTAAATGTGTAAAAAATGTAGTGCCAGCAGTAATTGAACCAAAAACTGTAAACAAATAATGTTTTTAGAATATTCAGATGTGTTATTAGAATATTAATAAATTTCTTTGGAAAAACAAGAGCAGAGTGGCGCAGTGGAAGCGTGCTGGGCCCATAACCCAGAGGTCCGTGGATCGAAACCATGCTCTGCTAGCTTTTTTCTTGTTTTGTTATTGTTTAAATAATTTTACTCAGTAAAAAACCAGCGAAAACTTAGATATTTTGCTTGAGTCGGCAACATCCGATATGGTCTAGTGGCTAGGATAGCTGGCTTTCACCCAGCAGGCTCGGGTTCGATTCCCGGTATCGGAAAAGCTTTTTGCCTCTTCACATAACTCATTTGTTTGTTTTATTACACTACCCAAAGCAAAATACTGCTTATTTTTCTTAATTTTCTTTAAATTCACTGTAATTCAGTTTGTTTTTCGTATATTCTCCGAACGCTGGATAAATTTCTATTTGATGATATCATGTGTTTAATATTTCAATATGTTCATATTTTTACATGCTCACTGTATCTCGTGCCTACAAACTAGAATTAATATTGGTATGTATATTACAAATAAAACAATAAACTCGATATTACATCCATTATAACAACACTATCTTACAGATACAGATTGATGCGTGTTGATCAACCGACGCATGCGCAATCCACTAACATTTCTCTACGCGAACGAAAGATATAAACAGATGGACACAAGAAGTTCGGATTATACATTCATAAATTAGAGACAAACGACAAACAACGATGAATGCCGGGGTAGGAATTTTGTAGCGATCCATATCTGCAACCATTTATCATTTAACATTTACATTTGTTTTGTTTCTGTGTGTGTGTGTATTTCGCGTATTGTGCTTAGAAGATTGGAATGTAGTTGTCGATCTTGGCGCGGTGCTTCTGCGCAACGCATTCGGAGATCCACACGATATTGCGGCACTCCTGTTCTTTCAGCTTCAAGTAGGAGTAGAATACTCCAAAGTGGAATTGTTGCAAGAATGCGTTCACATTCAAACGCACCTGGGAAAAAATGTTTTAATAAATAATTTTTGTGTAAATTAAAGAAAAAACATACTTCATGTTCAAAGAATTTATCCTCCAAAGTTTTATCGCCTGGATTATTACCAGCACCTTCGAATAGTTTGGAATACTCGGCGTAATACTCAGCAACTGCTTTCACTTGATCGTAATCTTCAGCACGTGCCAATGCAGCAAGGCCATCTGGATTCAGTTTTCCGCAACGCGGGTACAACTTCGCCCTGTCATCTTTGCTCAACTCAGTTCCGAAAGAGTTGATGGTAATGATGATTGCACGACGATCAGCTTCAAACTAAACAAAACAATCAACAATTAATACTAAATAATAATTTAGACTTAAAATGCACTTACAGCAAGAATTTCACATAAACAATCAGCTGTTTCACCTCCAATACCCTTGCAGAACTCATAAAAAGCCTCCAAATAAGCCTTGTACAGAGTATTACGAATAATCTCAATGTTCATCTCGTCCAAATCCTGTTCACTGATGCAGTCCACAAAGAATGGAGCAAGTGGAGTGTCCACCAAGACAGCATTGTACAACTCAGCCGGAGTGGCAGCCACATGAATGGCTTCCATTTGTTCAAAACTGCCCAAAGGATGGCATTTAGGAATCAACTCAGAGATGGGTCTCTGATGGAGTGTACCAGTGATCAACAGGATGATATTGTCAATCATGTAGCTGTAAGTGATAAAGTCCAGGAAGGTGGACAAAGGCTCAACAGCATGATTTCTCAAATGCTGGAATTCAATCACCAGCTTTTCCCTGAGTTTGTCATCAATGGTGGACACAGCTAGTGGAGATGGTTCATTGGCCAAGAATGCGCCGTAGTCAGTGCCTTGGAGATGCAGCTTCAAGTCTGGTGAGAGATTAAGGTCAATAATTAATCATGTGACACAAAAATTACACAAATCTTAAATTTTTACGAAATTTATGGTTAAAATTCATTTAAAAGTGGTGTATTGAATGATTTGTAGTTGTTTTTAATGATTTTTATGGATTTTATAATATTTAACACAATATGGGGTGGTTTTTTGAAGTTTATTGGTAGTGAGCATACCTTCCAGAGTTTCACATTGTACCAAGTTCAGGTAGTCGGATTGCTTGAGGATTCCACACTTGAAACCCCTGCAGAGGCCCTCCAGGTAACCGCCGTCGATGTTGAACAGGACGCCCTTCATTTTGCACCGATTTGTGGAAGGTTTGCGCCGTGATTATTTACCTCACCCACTTTAGACTACTCGCTTGTCAGTCATATGACTACCACTACAAGTACACTTGTTTCGCGTGACGTTTCTCAGCGCATGACTTCTACGGTGATTTTACAATGTTGTCAGGTTTATAAAGTGGAATTATCAAAATCACAGGTGATTTTATCTAAAACAATAGCGAAACATTACATGAATCAAATATTTAAGTATAATAAATACATTATATTTTATTCTGCAAAGTATAAAATAGGTTATGCTTTTAAAATTATAATAAATTCTATGTATAACTATGATTCTAGTTATTTTATTGCGTATTTAATGTTTAATTAGCTAATCAAATGCATTTTAAAAATGTACAAAGTACATGTAACGTATCCTTTGTTGTGTTATATTTAAATAAGTATAATATAACATGTATAAAGTTTTAAATAAAACAGGATTGCACGCATGCGTATTGGAGCACCCGTCAGTTAATTTATAAATATTCGGCGCCAGTTTTAGAATTCACTTTATTCCGGCGTTTTCGGTGTGAAGCACTGCGTTGGTGATTGTGTGCAAAGTGAATGCGCATTCAGTTCTCGTCATTACAGAAACAAGCAACAGACAAACAAAATGCCAAACAAACCTGCATTCAAAGTCGGTAAGTAAGACTTAAAGCAAATTCAAATAATAAATCATTACTTTTGTTGAGCATTATCATTGCACGTGTTAATTAATTGAGGTTAAGTTCAATTTTAACGCATTTTTCGCGAGTCTAAAACTTTGATTATTTATTTAGCGGACTTGAAGTTAGCCGACTGGGGTCGCAAGGAAATTACTCTTGCCGAAAATGAAATGCCCGGTTTGATGAGCCTAAGGAAGCAATACGGTGCTTCCAAACCGCTGAAAGGTGCTAAAATTGCTGGATGTCTTCATATGACCATTCAAACTGCAGTTTTGATTGAGACTTTATTGGAATTGGGTGCTGAAGTAAGTTTATGTTAATACACTTGGTAACTACTAGTATATTAGTAATTACATCACTAATCACTCCCCCCCCAACTGATAAATTATTACGTTTTTCAATAACAAACTGCTTGTTTAGAAGCAAAAAATATGATAGGATAATATAATTATGCTCTGACCTCTGGATATTTACTGCAAGACCTTCCACTATCACAAAACGCGTCACAGATATGTAAATGTGTCACATTTGCTTATCTACATCTCTGTGATGCAAGATAAACATTTACATAACATGCACCTCAGCCTGAGAAAGTTCTACATTGTTAAACACATGCAAAAAATGCAATGATAACAAAAGATTTGAATGTTGAACATAGCAACACAGCTAAATATGAAATATTATGTTAATTTAAGGTGCAATGGTCAAGTTGCAACATCTTCTCGACCCAAGATCACGCAGCTGCCGCAATCGCCAAACGCGGTGTGCCCGTCTACGCCTGGAAGGGTGAAACCGACGAGGAATACATGTGGTGCATTGAACAAACACTCGTATTCCCCGACGGCCAGCCCCTGAATATGATCCTCGATGATGGCGGCGACCTCACCAACCTCGTCCACGAGAAATACTCGCAATATCTGACAAATTGTCGTGGCATCAGCGAGGAAACCACCACCGGCGTGCACAACTTGTACAAAATGTTCAAGGATGGTAAATTAAAGGTTCCTGCTATCAATGTTAACGATTCGGTCACCAAGAGTAAATTCGACAATCTCTACGGTTGTCGTGAGTCACTCATCGATGGAATCAAACGCGCTACTGATGTTATGCTCGCTGGTAAAGTATGTGTCGTCGCTGGCTATGGAGATGTAGGCAAAGGTTGTGCTCAATCTCTGCGCGCGTTCGGTGGTCGTGTAATCATCACAGAAATCGACCCAATCAACGCGCTGCAAGCCGCTATGGAAGGTTACGAAGTCACCACCATGGATGAGGCGAGCAAAGAAGGACAAATCTTTGTCACCACCACCGGTTGTAAAGATATCATCAACGGGGAACATTTTATGAACATGCATAACGATAGCATCGTGTGTAACATTGGGCACTTCGATTGTGAAATCGATGTTGCGTGGTTGGACAAAAACGCGAAGAATAAGACCAATATCAAGCCGCAAGTTGATAGATATACGCTGAGCAATGGTAAAAATGTCATTGTTTTGGCTGAGGGACGTTTGGTTAACCTTGGATGCGCGACAGGACATCCTTCTTTCGTCATGTCGAATTCTTTCACTAATCAGGTACTCGCCCAGATTGAATTGTGGACGAAACCAGGCACGTACGCAATTGGAGTGCATATGTTACCGAAAACTTTGGATGAGGAAGTCGCGCGTTTGCATTTGGAGCATTTGGGTGTTAAGTTGACGAAATTATCAGCCGATCAGTCGAAATATTTGGGCGTTCCTGTCGCTGGTCCGTACAAACCTGATCATTATCGATATTAATTCAAGAAAGAACAAAAAAAAAGATATACCGCTACTTAATTACGTGTTTTGATTGATTTGGTTGATTTTTTATGATGGATTAAAAAAGAAAGTGTTAATTTTAATCAATATTTTACTTCATCATCGAAAATATGCAGTTGAATTAATACTTCCTTGGGTAGATCCTTGTCTACCGGCCATTCGTAGACTCCAGGTGTTGTAATGTCTAATATTTCATGATTATCACTCCAAAATTTATCCTGAATCATGTCGATGTGTAATGGTAGAACAACTTGTCGCATTTTCTCGTTTCGTGGATTTTTTATGCGTTTTCGTAGCAATGTTGTCCCTTTTTTGTAGATTTCTTTTTCATTGTTGTAATTTATTCCAAACTCAGAGAAGAGTATCTCATTCTTATCACTGGAGAATGTCCCACACAATCTTTGATCAGCCTAGAAATCAAAAAGAATTAAAAATTATGTATTTTGTGATTTAAACTTGAAATTAATTCAATTTACATACTTCTGCATTAGTTAATCCTCCATTAAGCACCAAATTCCAAAATGTTGTATTATATAAATTGTTAATATGGCAATCTGCTTGCCTCCAACTTAAATAATCTTTGAGATTCTGATCAGTTGGATATAAAACTACTCTGGAATCAAATGAAGGTGGATATAATAATTTGTTATCACCAAAGTATTCCCTCCAGTAGTAGACATAGCTGGAACTGAATAAACTGTTGATGTATGTCATTATTTTAGATCCTCTTCTGTTGTATAAAGTTGTGTCTTTTCTCAGTATGAATGAGTATTCATCACTTTGCCCATATGCTACTAAAATGTCTTTGAATTCGCACATAACGCGGATTGCACATTTGTTCATTAACTGTATCGCACGTAAGTCGTTTGGTTTGTCAAATTTGTGCTTGTCTGAGAACTTGTGGAAATGTGCACCATCTATTCGAACAACTATCCATGTATTTTGTAAAAGTTTATCTTCCTGCTCGAAAGTCCGCACGTATTCGAATTTACTGTTTGCCATTTTTACTGTAGTATTAAATAGTCTATTAATTACTAAATTTACATTTAGTTTAATTGATGATATTTGTTTAAAACAATTGATAAACATTAGTGAGTGAGGAAGAGTATGATAAAACTAAAAGTAAGGTTAATTAATACACGCAAGCATGTTGGGACGTGAAGTTGAAAATTTAAACATTTTATGCGCAAATATTGTGTAATAAAATGTTTAATGTTGAGAATATTAAGCACAACGGTCTTTTATATGTTCATGATTAACATATATGAAGTTTTAGGTCTTTATTTATTAATAATCAATAATTAATAATTAGAATTACTTATTTCATAGAATTACTATTAATAATTTACATTTACTATTAATAATTATTTGCCGGAGATGTTTCCCTGCTTTTCACATATATTTTTTACATCAGATGGATTCTCTAAAAGTGAATCCTCGTGTTCGGTGCTTTCCTGTTGCTTTAAATTAACATTTCTATTGTTTTTGCGCCCAGGACGACGAAAACGAGTCCTGTAGCTCGGCCGATAATACTCATGGCTTACCTGTTAACAATTATATAATATTAGTTCTAAATCTAATTATATATTAGTATGTTTACCATAGTAACATAATTTCCTTCTCGGTGTGTTATCATTGCATCAAAATATTGAAATTCGGGTTCAATTTCAGACAGGTTTATCTTTTTTGAAAATGTTGCGACCTGTTATAATATTAATTAATGATTTGTACTATATTACAATCAAAATTATACCTTAACGTTGCTGAAACGTCCCATTTTCAAGCTGTTGTGTGAACATTTGTTTACAATTGTTTTCTTGGAATCATAGTGCAGTTATAATCTCGAATAATATGATATCAAACAAATGAAAGTCAGGTAAACATGTTTTTAGTAAAAAAATTGTATGTTTATCTAAATTTAAATTAAATTCTAAACCTATATGTGTAAAAATTAACGCTTTTAGTGAGTACCCTAGATAATAATGATAATTATTAGTATGAGTGATAGAATCATATAAAAACATTTTGCATGAATACCAAAGTTTTGTAAATGATTGATTTCTACCATTAATTTTGTAAACTGGCAACATTGTAACATATGTTTGATTGAAGCCTTGACTTTGATAAAACAATTGTAGAACTCAAATTTACTGCCTGTCTTTGGATTTCGTACCCTAATTATCGGCTAATTAACAGTATTATTGTGCGCAACTTTTATTGAAGATTAAAAACAGTGTTCGTACAATGCGGTCTGCAAAGTTCTGGATAGATGGAGTAACATATAATATTGGAAAAGGTAAAATATTCAAAAAATCCGACATAAAACACTTTCTAATAAAATATTTATTCACAGATACACAAAATACCAAAAACTTCAAAACTGAAACAGCTGAAGGTAAAATATCCACTAAATTTCGTCTTCCAACGTAAGTAATTATATCAATTATTATAATTAATTACTACAATCATTTATATTAATTTATTTTGTATTCAGTGCTTATTATCATAAAATTTACAATGATCCCAAGTTTAATTTATCAAGAATAAAGAAAACCAACTCAACTGAAGTCCTACTTCCAAAAGAAGGAAATGATGGAGATGTCATCATCACTGGTGATAATATAAATGAAGTTGCAGATGCCAGAGAAGAATTTCATTTATTACTACAGTCAATCAGATCAAAAATCCCACCAAGACAATTTATATCTATACCTACCTTAAGCGATGAAGTTAAGAACAACTTCAAACAATTTAAAGATGAATTATTAAATAGAGAAGCATCTATACCTAATCTAGATGAGAGTGTTTTTCAAAAACCTGAGAAACTTCACATCACCGTCTGTGTCTTTGCATTGCTTGATCAAGTAGAGATTGATGAAGCAATCAAGTCATTACATGAGTTGAAAGAAAAAATAGTAGCTCCTTATTTTAACAATACACCAGCACAAATTAGACTTAAAGGTATCAGCTGTATGGACACGAATCTAAAGAGAACTAATATTCTTTATGCTAATGCATCACTTGTTGATGAGACTGTAGATTACAACCTGCAAACTGTTGGGAATAAGATGGCAGAGTTTTTCTACAATAAAGGATTTATGAAAGAATTGAGAGACAGTGTGAAGATACACGTAACTCTGATTAACACAAAATATCGCAAATCGTCTAATTCACAGAAGAAACACTGGAAGAAGAGAATACCAATCGATGCAACTGCAATCATGCAGGATTACAAAGACTATGACTTTGGCATCTGTAACTTTGATACGTTTCATTTATCTTTAATGTCTAGCAATAGTAAAAGTGAGAATGGATTTTATACACCATTGTCCATTGCTGAACTGACATAAAATGTGTATGTTTCCAGAAAAACGTTATATTTTATGAGCAACCATGAATTTTATGTTTAGTTCTATAAAACTATCCCAGATTGCTAATATGTTTATATTTCTGTATCATAAAAATGATGATAACTGTACTGAAGTTATTTCGAACTGTAAATACCAGTAAAACACTAAAAACGTGTTTATTTCTTATAAATACTGAACGTATGACTTCCGTTCGGTGGTAGACTGTTACAATGTCAGTTCTCACACAGATTTCAACCAAAATATTGGTTTATTCTACGATTTTAAGCTTAGTAACTGCACAAAATGACTGTAACAGACCGTGTGATGGTTTGGCACGTGTTTGTTCATACACGTTTCAATTAGAATGGTTTTTGGCTTTGGGAAGACCATGTTTTGATTGCCCAACAGTACAATCAGATTGTTTCAGACAGGATTGCATTGTTGCTGGGGGATATCAACGTGGTGTGACTGTTATTAATCGAATGATGCCAGGACCAACCATTGAAGTAATCCACCATCTTGAATATTAATATTTGTTAACAATTTGTTTAATTTTAGGTATGCCAAGGTGATAGAGTTGAAGTTTTGTTGATAAATAGCTTAAGTAACGCTGAATCGACCACAATTCATTGGCATGGTATAAGAATGAGTGATAATCCTTACATGGATGGAGTTCCTTATGTCACACAGTGTCCCATACCGTATAATAACAATTTTACGTATTCTTTTGTTGTGCCTGAAGCTGGGACGTATTTTTATCACTCACATACGGGTATAATCAGTTTAAATTCGTTTTATTTATTGTTATAGTAGTTATAATTGTTATTTAGGCAGTCAACGTGGTGAAGGCACTCATGGAGCATTGATTGTTCGTCAACCTGACTCTCAAAACTTATTACGGAGTTTATACGATCAAGATTTGCCTGCACATATTATACAAATCACAGATTGGACTATAAATGGCCGCCTGGAAGCGTCCCTTCGTTATTGGCAGAACGCTGAACCCTTTCAACCAGATTCTATAATAATTAATGGTTTAGGATATCCTGATTTTACTGATTTGAATACAAGTTGGCCTTTAGCTCGTTTTACAGTGCGTAGAGGCAATCGTTATAGATTTCGTGTCATCAATGTGGGTTTCAATGATTGTCCACTTGAAATTCAAATAGATAATCATCAGTTGATGATGGTGAGCACTGACGGGCAGGATTTTTCTCCAACGATTGTTGATTCTTTGATGACTTTTTCTGGAGAAAGATATGATTTTATTTTAAATGCTAATCAAACACCAGGGACTTATTGGATTCGTGTGAGGGGACAGGTTTTGTGTAACACGGCACGGATTTTTCAAGTCGCCATCTTGCAATATGAAGATAGTGATATTTCTCAGACACCGGCGGGACCTGTACCAAGCTATGATGACTTTAATACTGGTCTTGTACGTATAATATTTTGGTTTGTTTTTGTGTTATTCTTGTTTAAAATTATAGCAATTCAACACCGTGAATTCTACGTATAATAATTTAGTTTCTGTGACGTCCCTGGCTCCATCTGATGTTTTTCTAAGTCCACAGACTCAGTTAATACAGAGATTCATTGAGTTTGATTTTAATAATGTGAATAATCCAATGTATTATCGTGCACCTTACAATCTTCAAAACGGTAAATTTACTTGACATAACCAAACTTCTAAGTTAATAGCTACTTTTGTGAATTTAGTACCATTTTCACAACGTAGAGGAACACCGCAATTCGATAACATATCATTCCGAAGTCCATCTGTGCCATTGTTACCAAATCGATTTGCAATTCGTCCCGAGGATTTGTGTGAACCGGAAACAATACGTAATCAAAATTGCGCACAGAATTTCTGTACTTGCGCCTACGTTATTCAGGTAATCTCTATTTTCTAACAAAACAACTTTTATTATCGTTATGTGCAAGTAGTTTCCTTTAAACTCCAACGTGGAGCTGATTCTGATCGATGTCGGAAATGGAATTGATGCGATACATCCCATTCATTTACATGGCTACGCGTTTCGTGTGTTAGGCTCCCAAAGATTAGGAAGAAACACAACAACTGCAACGGTACGAGCTATGGATGACTTAGGACTTCTACAGAGGAATTATCGAGCACCTCCAAGGAAGGATACCATTGGTGTACCACATGGTGGTTATGCAATTATACGATTCAGAGCTGATAATCCAGGTTAGGTTATTCAGACTAATTCCTAACCTCAAATAATTAAATATTAACTTATCTATAGGATTTTGGTTGATGCACTGTCACATTGATACTCATATAGAAGTTGGAATGGCATTGGTGATCCAAGTTGGCGAAGCAAGTGATATGAGAAGCACGCCACCAAATTTTCCAACTTGTGGTAATTATAGCCCATAGGAAATAAAACGCGTTTGCAGTAAGTAAATGAAGTAATTCTGCTATGTTGTCATTTGATAAAGATAATGTTTGTTCCTTGAACTTTTCGCAATCAGCCGCCAAGAATCGCTACAAACTAGTATACATAATAATATCTCAAGTACAAAAACGTATTTACAAAACAAGTCAACACTACACTTATATAAAATCAGACGTCATACTCGCTGTGATAAGTTAACTTGGTAATATTTACACTTTACATTCCCAGAATCAGTCGGTTGCTTCTAACGCAGTTAATTATTAATAATAATATCACTATTTTAGTATCTGGTTGTATAAAAATACGTATAAGTTATAAAAATCCACAACCTAATATCAAAAGCATCACTGATATGGGAAACACGATGTAAATGCCAACACGAGGATGGCACGTACTGACCAGCAGAAACATGTTATCTTCATCAACTTCTATGCCATCATGTGTGGGTACTTCCACTACGACTGTCTCATCCGATAAAAACTGAATCGGAAAGTGACATTCCGTCACGTTGATACACTCCTTGTCTTTTGTGTTATTCATGTATTGAAATGTGGGTTTAAACACGTCGAAAACAGCGTGGATGATGTTGTTCTCTATATCGTTGTCCGAATAGAAGATGTAATAGTAATACCCGTCGGAAACAACGTTGTGTTCGGTTTCTAAATGCGTGCCATCATCGAGGTCGTAAACATTGGTGCATTTGTCGCTTGGATCAAAACCATGCGCCAAAAGAATAGAACCATCATAACATGTGAGAAGATCTTCCTCAAAACTGGAAACACTGTTAATGGTGGAATCTCGTTGGGAGAAGTCAATGGCATTGCCGCCATGTTCGATTCCGCCATCAAGCATTTGTTGAATGTCACGTTTAGGCCTAGATTCCGGTGTGATTGGTTGCTCGTTTTCATCTACTTCTAATTCAGCGTTTTCATCGTCGATTTCTTCAACTGCTGTTGGGTCTATGTTTTCATCCAGTTGTGCTTGTAAACGTTCGATTTCCATTTCAATTCTTTTTCGGTAATGCCTCCGTGGATTTCGTGATTCCACCATCTTGGCTGTTTTTTGTTCGACATCATCTATTTCTTCAAGTCTTAAAGCCTCTGCGTGTAAATTGTGTTTTATTGTAGACTCCAGAACAGGAGTGGCTTTGCTTGTTTTGTTCTTAGCTTTATTAAGCCTCTTTTTAACGAATTCTTCAACAGGTTTCTCAACTTTTTTCTCGGCAGTTGTGTTCTTTTTAATCGGTACTGGAGTTTCCTCGGAACTTGAATTCAATTCCTCTGCATCCTCAAATATCACTTTTACTTGTTGATGATCTTTATCCATAGTAGCTCCAACTTTTTTCATGTTGTGATCCATAAGACCACAAGTATCCAGCCTTTTATCACCTCGAACAACCAACAATCTTGAACCTGGATATCTTGAGCATGCCTTCAACCTCACAGTTGAATTAGCCAAAAGAAAAAAGCCAAAATACTCTAAAGTATCATCAGGTAGTTCCATGGACTTCTTTAAACGCAGATGTTTCTTTTTTGAGCTCAATTGTGGAGAACTTCGAAGTTGAAAAGCATTAAAAGTGCTGTTCATATGTAAGGAATGTGAGGAGCAGAACACTGATGAGACTCCATCCATGATAGCAAGCACATCAGATTCTGCCACCTCAAATTTACCATCTGCATAAACACTATGCCTAAGATAGAGTGGAGTTATGATGAGTATCATTGGCAGGACTGCCATCATGAGACAGAAAATGAGCACTCGTTTGACTCCATGCATGTCTCCAAGTTCTAAAACCAACAAGAAACTCTGAATCAGTAAAACAACACAGACATACAGACATATATAATCCTTGTTTTTGTTATTAGCACAATTTTTTACCTTCGATTCACACAGGTGATAAACATTAAAACAAATAAATTGATTTAATGAATTGCAATATAATAAATCCCAAGAGTAAACTGATTGAATAATATCTGAGTGTGTAGTTGTATTTGTACTAATCCTTATCGAGCTTTATGTACTTTTAATGATAACGTTAAAGATGCATGTGGTATGTGTAACTTCAGTGATAGTTAACAAAGTATTTTTGCGTCGATAACTTATGAAGTAATTATAACGTTGTAAATATATGTAAATGAGCAGAGGAGTAACCTCAAACGTATAATAACGAAACTAGAACGAAACGAACAGGAACAGAACGACACAAAGCCCACACTAAACTCTCAAATGCATTGTGCGTAGTTAAAAGTTTCAAAGAGTTGCGATGCGCACGAAAAGTTTCAATTTCGATGTCAAGGACGAAAGTAATACTCGCGCAGCGTGTACGCACTTTGTAATTTGTAATAAGTTATTTTTAGCTTATAAATAGAAAAATAATAATTAACAAATTGCTCGTAAATATATTTAAAATGAATTTATAGTAATAACGGTCAAAACTTCTCTTGGTTTTAAAACACTGCGTTTTTAAGTTTTTAAAAGATAAAAATAATTGAATTTACGCCAAATTATTTATAAATTTTATTGTTTAGACCTGCAGTGAATATTATTATAGCCCAGGATACAAAGAATCCCATAAAATGCGTGCCAAATGTAATAAATTTCCTTCATGTAAACATTTCTACATCCGCCATCTTGCAATTTGAATATTCTAACTCAATAAACGCGTTTTTATTAAATAACAGATAATAATATATTAATAGAATGCACTATACGTGTTCTGAATAGTTAGAATACAAATACATACTATGCAGTTGCTGAATCGAGCTATATTTATAGCCCTGGTAGTAAGATGCGACATTTGTGCTGGATTGTTGTTCCAAAATCATTTTGATTTAATTCTTATTCAACACAACAGTTTAATAACAAAAAACACCGAATTTAACACTTTTAAGCAGTGTTTTGATATTTTTTAATCCATTTTGCATAAATTTCTAGTTTTCCACTTTTTGTTTATAGTTTGAACACTTGCAACACAAGTTCCAAGTTGTTTCACTAATCGCCGAGAGTTTGTTCACTTCGGCTCATCGCTGCACCGCACGAACTGCACTAAATATAATCAGACAATAATATTAACTCTGGGGCATTTTTTTTTCGACCGCCATTATCAGTGAGTCAACAGTAATTGAACTATTTGTGAACATGCTCGGAGCTCGGCTTGACAGCGCACTGAGGCCATCCCAGTCGAGACAATGATTGTTCTGTTAAGAATATTGCGATCGCGCAATCCGTGTGCACTTGATTGAGCGATATTTATCAGACGTGAGCAACGGTAGACACTCGAAATGTCAGAGGCGTCTGGCATCTCCTCGATCTGTGTCCTCTCGAACGCATTTCTGTTTTGTTTCGTTATGTGTGTAAGATTTGATAGCGCAAGATAATAGAATAATACTTTACTGATAAGAGAGTAATTAGTTACAGTGGTTACAATAATTTGTGGGACCGGTTTTCATGTTTACACCATTTATGTTGATAGGAGCTTGTTTGCTTATTTAAATTTGGCATAACTTTATATTTATTAAGTCATATAAACAGTAAATGAGAAATTTTGGGTTACAAACGGATTTATCCAGTTATTTGATACGTAAATATAAAGAAAATAGTTATTTAAGTACTGGGAAATTGAAATTATAGTTCTTGTACATTAAATTGTTTATTTTTACTAATACAACGTCTTTTATTTTACTATAAACGTAATAAAATGCAATTGAAATATATTTGTTGTGCATAAATGGTGCGCAAAAGGTTATTGATTAAAACTGCACTAATAAAGCAAAGAATACAAAAGGAAAACACTATAAAAACACGCAATCTAAAGATTTTTTTATTGCTAAACATATATAAATAGTGTATTAAGCTCAAATCAACGTTTTAAACATAAATTTTAATTTATTTCGTTCTTAAATTCAACTTCAATGCACAATGTGTGCATATAAAGTTGCCTATATTAATGGTTCAACAATTCCTCATTCATCGTAAATTTTTTATTATCTCTAATATAAAACCTAAATAAATAATTTATTTAAAACTACGTTTAATAAAAAAATTTACTATATGAATCTAAATGTGTTTGCACACGAGCGACCTGAATTTTTGCATTTCGCATGTCAACAACTCTCACCTGAAACGCTCACATTCCGTACCTTCGTAAATCAAATATTTACTCGTGAGTTTTAATGCCGAATAAAATCGTTTTTAATTGTCCTGGCATAATTAACACCTTAACACACATTAACATATTAACCTATTATGTATTTTTCTTGTTTCTAATTGGAGTACAAGTAGAATTTACTTCCTTTTTAAGGCTGAATCTATGTATATACTTTGTATTAAAGGTAGTGCGTAGTAAATATTTCAAAAATGGGTTTACGGTTGTCGCGTGTCGTTGGGCAATTTTAATCATCGTTTGCTGTGAGCTTCTAGCGTACTATTAGGCTGGCGTAATCAAATTCTTATGCGTGTTACCTTTTACAAACAGAAGCATTCCAGGCACGTTTTTGTTAGGTTTTAGATCGTTGAAAAATTGGAACGTGTTTATAACTGTTTCAAACAGTCGGAAAAGTGTGTAAATCGAAATTATATATTAATTAAAGAATTATTGTGTTTATAGTACGTAGTATCTTTTGAAAATTGAGAATATTTTAATTTTTTTTTGTGCAAACTTCTTTTGAATCGTTGTGATTTCAAAATTAATGAAACGACACTAAAAAGAGATAAAGGTATTCGTTTATATGGTTTAGCCTGCGAGAGAACAAGAGAACACAAATATACCGTGTTTCCTATTATCTTCGTCTCTTTTTTGTGCGATGCTTCGTAGCTTGCCACAAGACTTGATTCTAAATATTTTCTAAATCTATATATATAAAATTTGCGTGTCACAGTGTTTGTTTCCATACTCCTCCGAAACGGCTTTACCGATTTTTACCAAATTTTATATGCGTATACAGTAGGTCTGAGAATCGGCTAACATCTATTTTCATACCCCTAAGTGATAAGGGTTGTTCACCCTTAACTTTTTTTAATTTTGGACAAATTCTTTTGTTTTTATTTTTTTATAATGTGGAATTAAAAAATACATACAACCCTAAATTTTTAGTTTTTTATCACCAACCCCTATTTCTTTATAGACATTTTAGTAATTTAATCATTTTTCATCCCGCTCAAAGAAAATTTTTATATGCGTATTCAGTAGGTCTGAGAATCGGTAACTTCATATCTCTAAGTGATAAGGGTTGTTCACCCTTAATTTTTTTTAAATTTTGGTAGAAATTTTTTGTTTTTATTTTTTTAATGTGGCATTAAAATATACATACAACCCTAAATTTTTGGTTTCTTATCACCAACCCCTATTTTTTATAATAAGTAAGTTACTTTTTGTCTACACTAAAATTTATCTAGAAACTAGAAATAATTTATATGGCAAAACAACGTTTGCCCGGTTAACTAGTATACTATAATATCGTAGAGTAAGAAGGCAAAAATGTGATTAAAAGAGCTAAAAATTGAAATCTCGAACATCTCGTAAACTAAAAGAGATAGAAAGGAATGAATCGCTGAGTCTTAATCTACGGAAAATTCTCTATCAAATAAGCTAGTTAGATTGGAAATCTATGAGATGAAATTTTATTTCTTATAAAAAAATTGCCAGGTACTTTTTTTCGACGATTTTTGATAATAAATATCCCATAAACTAAATGCGATAGCAACTAACGAATTGCTGATTATGAAAGATTGGAAAATTCTCTATCAGATAAAAATATAAATTAATTATATTTCCTAGAGTAAAAGGTCAAAAAACGCGACTAAAAGTGCTAAAAAGTGACATTTTGCAATTTTTGACCATTTTCTTCAATTGCGAATATCTCGTAAACTAAAAGAGATAGCAACCAACGAATGGCTGATTATGAAAGATTGGAAAATTCTCTATCAGATAAAAATATAAAATAATTATATTTTCTAGAGTAAAAGGTCGAAAAACGCGACTAAAAGTGCTAAAAAGTGACATTTTGCAATTTTTGACCATTTTCTTCAATTGTGAATATCTCGTAAACTAAAAGAGATAGAAAGGTCAAATCGCAGACTCTTAACCTACGGAACATTCTCTACAAGATAGGCTAGTTAAAATCGAAATCTAAGAGATGCTTGATACTTTTTTTCGACGATTTTTGATAATTAATATCTCTTAAACTAAAAGAGATAGCAACCAACGAATTGCTGATTATGAAAGATTGGAAAATTCTCTATCAGATGAAAATATAAAATAATTATATTTCCTACAGTAAAAGGTCGAAAAACGCGACTAAAAGTGCTAAAAAGTGACATTTTGCAATTTTCGCCCATTTTATTCAATCGCGAATATCTCGTAAACTAAAGGAGATAATTAAGATCCGATCGCAGCGTCTTAATCTACGGACTATTCTCTATCCCAGTGGTTCCCAAACTTATTTTGTCTACTGCCCACTTTGAGCATAAATATTTTTTTAGCGCCCCCATTTTTTCACTTATTTAAAAACCACTCTAACTTCAAATTGAATTAATTAAATATTGTGACCTATATATGTATATTATGTACAGGAATGCCCCCCTTGAGACCTGCAGCGCCCACAAGGGGGCGTTATCGCCCACTTTGGGAAAGACTGCTCTATCCGATAGGAGAGTTAAAACAGAAATCAGAGAGATGAAATTTTAATTCATAAGAAAAAATGGGAAAGGGGGGGGGGTGCTATAACTGTTCTTTATGAATTAATATGTGCTACTTCAAAGTTGTGAAATTGTTTGAGTGCATTCTAAGTGCGAAATTGTTGAAAGTGTGTAAAATAATCGCATCATCCAAGAACTAAGTGTTGTGTTCTCTGAACTCTCAGATCGCCTACTCCATTTTGTACTCTGCACACACCGTGACATGTTGTTCGATATATTGCTCTACGCGCACACGTACTTCTACGACTCTACGAGTACAGAAAGCACTTCATATTAAGGCTTCCCTTTGAAATCAAACGCTCCATAAAGTGCTCCGGTGCTCCATTAAAAGTGTGTTACGCAGCGAAGCGATGGCAGCGCGGATACGCTGAAAGGTATTCAAGGTATTCAATTACTGTGCGAACCTATCACACTTCCACGAATTATACTTCCTCTTTTGTCGTTTGCTTTTCCGCGTTACAGCGATTTAATATCGGGTAAATGCTTTTCATTTTCACTAATTTTATTCAATCTCATTCTTGTAGGTGGAATTTGTAGTGAATACGAAAAAGGGAAATTTTTGAAAGGAAATACTTGGAAAATGAAGATGAAAAGAATAACGAGATATAAAAATCGAAGAATTTTGCTTTATTGAAGAGAATGTAAATTTGCTGAAGGTGTATAACTGGTTGCCTATTATAACCATTCTTACAAAAATTCAATTTCTGCTTTAATTTCTTTCTTATTGAATTTTTTAATGTTTTATTAAATGTTTTAATTAAAACAACATTAAAACAACAAAAGCCTTGTATTTTACAAATAAATCACTCTTTTTACACGTTTATTATCAAATAATTTAACTTTCTCGCTGAATCTGAACTAAATGTAAATAGTTAAAGTTGCATAGTTGGTTGCCTATTTTACGCTGTCAATCAGCATAACTCCAACCTAGCAATTTCTGTTTCTTTTTAATTTCTACCTTATTGACAATTTTAATTTAAAATAAAAATTAGGAAAGGAAAGGAATGCATGTTATTTTTAATTTTGCTAATTGAAAACCACAATTTGCACATTCTTCTGATGATTACATTCAGTAAAAGTCAAGTCCAACGCTTGGCCATGCAATTCGCGCTGCATAAACGCGTTTTCCGAACATTTAACAGCCCGAAGCTGAAACAATAAACTCTCTGCTGCTGCTTGTTGCCGACTACCTCCGACCTGCGAAGTCAGAATTCGAAAGTGGCCGGCGCGTCGTCGCGTTGCAGGACTTCTCGCGAGGCACCGCTGGCTGGTTTCAGCATTCAGTAACGCGGTCGCGTTCGTCGTGCTTGGTTCGCGCACGTTTTCGGTCGCGGAGCGTGTTTTCTCGCCGCTCATTAATTAAAAACGTACACGTTTACATCGTCCGCATTTTTGTTTACCTGTTACCTGCCATTCAATGGTAACGTTCGCTTCACATACACGCACACGATTATTTTGAGGATTGCCATTTTTACCTTTCACCTCGCTTTTGGTACGCACTGGCGCTGGCTGCTTTCTGGACTTTTTTATTGGGCGAAAAAAACATAAACATAAACAAATATAAAATAGTTTTCTATGTGATCAATTTGTGCCATCGAAGAAATTTATATACGTAATTATTGCTTAATGGTTTCTCATCTAAGTTATATGTTAATAAATAAGTGAGGAAAACCACAAAGTTGACCGAAACATGACTTCGATGACAAATAATGGCTCGACTTTAGAAATCGCGCAAAGCAATCAGGTGATTCGAGTTTCCTACTTATTCACTTTTCTAAAGCATCTTCTTTCAATTCTTTTCTTTTTATATCTTTATTATGTCTTTATTATAGCTAATAATATCATCGCATTGTGTTTCATGTCTATTATACTTGCAATCAACTTTTTTCTCTTCTCTTTTTTTTTATTTTATTTTGTCTGTTTGCAAAATTGTACATTTCTAATTTACACCGCACCATGAACATACATACACTCGTAGCATTGTAAACGTGTTCATTTGCGCTTGAATGTAATTGTAATTACTTTCGTAACTAGTTTGACATTTACGGTCACCTCCATTTCCACGTAGTATCTTCGTCTGTTTGGCTCGTAATTTAACGCTAGCGGCAAGATGCACATGTTGAGTGTGATGTCTTTGCGCAACGCAGGTTTTCAATAATATTACGTCCATAATTAGATAATTATAGGGCTGTTAATTTAGTTACGAGTAGATTGAGGCTAATTTCACTATTAATATGAATTTTTACTTGTTTAAAATGATTTACGACAGGAAAGTAAATTGTTTACGTTTTATTGCTGCTGCTAAGCGTGATAACAAAACTAAATAAATGTACTGAAGGTTATACGAAACCATAACAAGTTACGGAAACATATTTGCAATACCTATTATACAAAATATTGGGTTTAAGTGGTAAATTTTCTAGGATATTGCATAATTTTGACATTTTAAGATATTTCAACTAGGAATTTATTAAATTGCGGTTTTATAAAATAATATAATGAGGAAAACACTTGGTTTTATTAAATACTAGGTTTTATCCACGATTTTGTCGTTTAATTAATTTTTTCTTTATTTTTGGAGCTATTAATTGCTGAATATGTTAATAAACGTATCAATTTTTGATCGAAAGAAATTAGGAATGCTAATAATGCAGTTTAACGCCATCTAGATTCAAATTATATAACTCTAACTATGATTTAATCATCATACAATTTTAATCTCCAATTTTACACCCTTTAAGTTATATTTTTGCAAAAAAAGTAGCCTATTTTATTCTCCAAAGTTAAAACTATTTACATACCAAAATTTATCAAAATTGCTTAGTGGTTTTTGCGTGAAAGCGTCACATACAAACATAGATACAAAACTAACATTTGCATTAATATTTTATTAACGTCATATAATTCCGTTAATTACAATTACTCATGAGTAATTATACATGCACGACCAACACCTATATTGTTTTTGTTTTTCACGTTTTCATTAAAAAGTAAACATAAATACGTAATTATAAATAGATTAACGAATGATAATGTCCGACTCTAAGCAGGCGTATAATATACCTTAATAAAAATTTCCGCTCATTTGAAAATTTTTATATAATTCTTATTTCGTTCTTGCTCATACACAATTTGCGACAATAAATAAAATATTCAAAATTATGTAAAAATAAGAATCGTGATGATGAATAGCTTCGCAGGATTGCAGGACTTTAATATCGCATGCGCGCACAGTCATTTAGTTAAGCACCCATCGCGTGATTTTCATGTGTTCATTACGTTCATTATTTCATTAGAGTTAATTCGTTATTAGGTAACGCAATATTAATACGAATTAAATTTATTTCTTAATTATGAGAGATTACTCGTAATATGCATACTGGTAGTGCACAGATATGCATATGTAGTAATTGTGTGACATTGTGACTAATGTTTTAATATCTATACATGTTTTTGATGTGCAAATTGCATTGTTGTGGATTATAATGAGGTTTGTTCTAAACAATTATGAGTCAGTAGCTTAGTTAAGGACATTCAATGCACAATAGCATCGAATTGTTATAGATAGAATCACAGGTAAATGATTCACGTGTGGTGAGATGTGATAAACATTTTAATTGTTTGTTTATATTCAAAACAAAGAAAATTTTGTGGTTTAAGATTAACGTGCAGGGAATGTAGCATAGGTAAGCTGCTTTCAAAGCAATTATGTTACGGGTAATATAGGCAACCAAGAATACATTTTATAAATTTTTATTTTTTTGAAAAAATATAAAATTTAACCTAAAAAATTAAAAGTTTATTAACTATTCTTCAACAATTGGAACAAAATTACTTGTTTTGATAAAAATAACAATAATATACAAGAAAACTGTTCCCATTTAATTAAAAAACGAGTTTTAACGAGTTTGTAACCTCAAATTTTGTAAATTACAATATAAATCCGATAAAAAACTTGTTTCAAACATGTAGAATTATTATATCAACAATTTCGCAATTGACGTACAACACCGTGTTTGTTTGAATAAGTTTTATTTAAAAGACTTACATTTAAATTCTCTCCGCCCGATTTAAGTAATACCTCAATCTCAATGTCGCTGGTTTGCGCATTGTTAACACTCGGAATATAATTTAAAATAAATGTTTTCCACTTGTCTAGTTATCGCTGTGTTATCCACGCTTTATACCTGCCTGCCACATTTATTGTTCTCAACTCAACATAATATATAAGGAAGCAAATAAGCAAGGAACACTAGGACGTAGGTGTAATTACCATAGAGAACGTGCGCCTAGTGGGAAATTACAATTCGGAATTTTGTTAGTGTTTTACATAGATATTCGCGCACGATTTACATAAATATAGAACGCCCGCGCAAATTGCGCCCGGAGTAGGTGTTGACGCAGGTTGTGAGTGCTTGTGACGTTCGATTTATGCGAAGAAAATTCGCGCAGCAAGAGGAAAGAGAGAAAAAGTGATTGGATTTGCTTCCGATAAGAAAAGTGTCGTGTTTGCGCTGATGTCCAATTTGAGCATTTAATGGTTTATAATAAAAGGGAATTTTATGTTTACAAATTGCGGTTGGGAAAGCAGTTAAGATAAAGCAAAGTGCGAATAGTGCAATGCGTGTGATTTATAAATACAAGGTAATCAATTTAACCACTTTATAAACAATAACTAGTTTTATCCTCGTTAAAACTCAAATGTGTGGTATTAGTAACATAATTGATATCATCAAAGAAACAAAGGGATTGCTACAAAAGTTTTGATAACAATGAAATGTTTTTAAAGAATTTAAATTGTAGGTATTATATATGGGTAGGTGCGACAATTATAAACAATTGATGTAAATTTTTGGTAGTAGTCAAGTTGCATTAACTGCAAAATTGATATATGCCAATTTACTCTTTTAAAAGAAGAAAAAATGGTATATTAACCTCAAAATTGAGATATGGAAACATTGTTAGCTCTACCCCGTGACTAAATCCGTGATTAAAGTGTTTTAGTCACGGCTTTGGTTGTCCGTGTTTAAAATACCACTTTTTAGGTCTCAAAAATATGATACAACTGGCATTTTCTTGGTGGAAGTATAAAAAATCACTTTTTTACTTTGATTTGGTGAAAAACGAATATTTTACATACTTAATATATAATTTATTACTATTTGTTAAGTAAATTAGTTTTTTTTTCTTGAAATTCTTAAGATTATCATAAATTTTTTTAACATATTTTTCCCATCATAAAAAATAATTATGCAAAATTTAAATTATTCTATAGTTTTAGATTGTAACTCGAAACATAAGCATGATTAGCACAATATTTATAGCATTACAAATGAAATAATACATTTACATTTTTATATCACTCATCTTACGATGGCAACCAATGATTAAATGCAATGTATTGTGTTTTGCTTTTACTTTACTTTGTACATATCTCGACATTAAGTCATGATCAAAGTGGAATAAGTGCAAACAAACATTTTTCCTTCTTAGTATGTATTTACGAGTATATTTAAAAAATGTGTTATTAAAATGGAAATTTGCATTGCATTGAATTGCATCGATTAAGATTTATTACACTCAATGTAGTATTATATTAGTAAATGCGGGTGCGGCTGACATAGCGAACTCAAGTTTAGTATGCGTCGTGACAAAACTATAAAGTGTATACGAAACAGTACAGTGTACATAAATCGAGATAGCGATGCAATTGCGCACTGTGCCGTTTATTTGCATTCGGCATACATTACACTATTACACACTTATTACACTGCACATATTGCGATCTGAGGTGTATGTGCTACCTGCATTGTGCGTTTATTGTTCTATTAGTAGAGGTAAATATTGCGCACAATGTGTGTTTGTTGTTTGTTTTTTAACGGGTGATTTTATGATTGAATTATTTGCTGATTTAATGTGATTTTTATGGTGTATAAAATGTTGCCACTTGACATGCAACAACCTGAACATTCCGATATTATTTTATACAGGCTGTGTTATAATATTCCTAATACAATATTTGATTTATTTGATTTCTGGATTAAATGGATGTTTATGGTTAAATTAGAATCAGGAGATGTCTATTTCTGGATTTATTTATGAAATAATCAAAAAATGTTTGTTAGCTTCATCCCGTGACTAAAGCCCGGGATTAAAAAACTTTAGTCACGATATTGGTCCGTGTCCTGTCCGTGCTTAAAGGTACCACTTTTGGGTCTTAAAACCGTGAGAAAACTAAAGCTATAGAGATGGAACTAGAAAAATTAAATGAGTTACTAGAATAAATAATCTCTTTGTAAATCCCAATGCAACTTCATATTGATTTAATTTTAATAACACGGTTTTTAATTGTTTTAAACCTGATCACTGAGCATTTATATAATACTTTAGCATAATTACTGATTCGACTTGCCAACAAGTGTTATATCTGGTTACTTCTGCTTTTAAACTACTACTTTACCTAGTTTTTCATGAAACATTTAAGATTTTTCATTTGTAATTTATTTTGTGAGACAACCTTGACATTGATTTAACACGTGTAAAAACCTGGTCAGTTTATCATTACTAATGTTTATATCTTATATTTTTCAAAGGCGTGTGAATACTATCAAAAACATTTAGATTAGTTTTATGTGAATTCTATCTGCGTAGAAGTAAATTTTGGCTGTAAATATTTATTTAGTAGAGTCTATCATAATTATTTGGCTAATAATAAATTGATGATAATAATATTTATGTCGTTTA